ACTCATCTCGTTGCATGTGAAAAAATCCATTATGAAACACACACTCCAAGCCATAAAAATAAGTGTACAACAAAACTATTCGTACTCATACTGCAACAACAACACAAAAATGTTTTACAGACACGCTTCAAAATTGATTTTAGCCCGGTTGTTGTTTCCGTTGATTCATCGAACGGGTCTCTCCCTCTCTATATAGAGGTATACAATGTATTTAGTTTTCTCGATTTCTCGTTGAGGGAAGTAAATTTTTGCAACGTTTTTGCGTATTTCACTTGAAATTTTGCTGCGAAGGTCGGCAATACTTTTGTGTATAGATTTCGTTTTTATTTGTTCTTTAATATTTAAAAGTAAACAATTTGGGTATTTTCCTTTGTTATTGGACCTCGTTTTACTTCTTTGCGTTCGGGTTTATTATTTTGCACAGAAGTTACTTAAGTTAATTGAAATTGGCATGTGTTTGCACTGATGGGTCGGGTTTGTTTTGTGAGTCATTTCCCTTACGGTTGGGCAACATCTTACGTTCCACTTTTGTGGTTAATTTGCATTTTTCGGGGAAGAATTGGCACGAGAAAAGTTCCCTTTTTTCCATGGGAAGTACTGAAAGTTGCACAATATCTCCCTCTCGCTTGATCAATCTATTCCTTAACTCTACTTGAACCCAAACATCTATGATTTGCTTGATCAACCTTAAGAATCTATAAGAAAATTCACGTATATCTAGTATAAAGATCAAAAGCTAAAGCAAGAGAGCATGAGAGCGACTTGCCCGCCCCAGAGTTGAGCAATAAGAATGCAAATTGAATGAGAAAGACTTGGGGCGTGTTGCCGTCTATTGAAGGAATGCGAAATGCAATTGACTTTTGCATCCCCATTGTTAAAGGGTGGAGCTGAAGCATGTTCGAATGGGTGGATGGATTGTGTGGTGATTGTGTGGATCAATTGCACTTTCATTGACTCGCTTACAGCTCAGTGGTCCGTACAATGCCTGTCTGACATGTGGCTGAGATGCGGAGGAGATGCTAAATTTGATTTCGTGCACTTGTCAATGCAATTTAGCATCAATGGCAAAAACGGCTTTCGACCCAGTCTCGCTGCCTCTCTATCTCTCCATCTCTCGGATCTGTCGGATCTCTCAGGAACGTGTTTCTCTCCGATTGAGTTGGCCCGCTTTTTAAGTTTTATTGTCACACCGAGTCTTATACAGATTGTTTTTTTATATTTTTTATGTATTTTTTGCACACAACTTGACGAAATGTGACGAAAAGGCCGCCGCCGCCACATGTGAGCCGCGAGAGCAGTAAACATTTTGTTTATTTTTATATTTTTGCTGAAAAGGAAACCAGTTCAACGCGACATATGGCGTTTTATTATAAACCAACGAAAATATTTTCTACCCAAAACTGGCCGCAAAAGAAGTTGTTGCTGCCACAGAAAACCTTTTAATCAGTCATAGCCTTCGACCAAGTCCAAAGTTTGCTCACAAGCGAACCTTGAAGGAAAGTGACGCACTCAGGTGTTAAAAATAGATGAATGGCTTAGCAGGTTGAACATTACAAAGGGGGGTTTACGAGGTGCGAAATCTATAAGCACAGAAATGGCAAAGTAGAGTGAACTCAGCACATGACACGTGATATGTTGGAACAGTTGCTTCAAAGATTTACTTTACTAATTGAATTTTGTACTATCAGCAAAACTCTGACAGGAAATCCCATATTAAGCTGTTTCAAAAGTGTTCTCCATTGAGCAAAAATCTATAATTCTCTCTTTACATTCGCCTGTGTGATAAAACCTGTAAAGATACCCAACTTTGAAATGTTTCTCACCGCAATTCTTGGAGAGGTTTCTTTGCCATTAAGAACCCCTCCTGGGCTACGCTACTCCAAGTCATTCCCTTCTATTTTTCAATTTCGTCAAATTCTGTTAATTAAAATTGACAAAAAATATTATCTGCCACGCAAGCAAGCGCTTGACTTTGGACTATAACCACTTATCAGCTCTCCAGGGGTTGGGTTATCACTCGGACGAACTGTCATTGCCAAAAAAAAAAGCGAGGAAAGAAAACTGCTCCAATTTTGTGTAGCAAAATATTGCCAAGACATGGCCATTGATTGGCATCGAGTACGCGTATACCCTCCAGGGTAACAGGCCCCTCTAATGCGGTTAATGGACTCTCTTGGAGCGCCAAAAAGCAAATTGTCATCATTGTCAGGTCTCTGAGTCGTGGACCGGCGTAACCAACGAGGTTTTGTGTGGTTTGTGAGTTTTTGAGTGCTCATTAAGCTGTTTGTTGGCGGCTTCTTCGCTTTCTGACTTGATTATTTATGGGCCACAGCGAAATGTGCAAAAAATAAAGAGAAGAGGATAAAGATAAAGAATGTTGGAATTGAGTAATTGAATGATCTTTTGGCATGGATCAGTGCCACTCGGCAATTTCTCAAAGAACACTCGTGCATAAATAACCAAAAATGAAGTTTGCTTTGCCGAATACTCGAATGTGTTGCTGCTTGTGCGAATTAAAGCCTCGTCTGGGGCCACAGCTATGGGCCATTTGGTGGAGCCATTAAAAACAATATATGGCCGGGCAACTCTTTCACTGTTCGAAATTCGGAGCCAGAAATGAAAGGAAATAAACAGATACAGAGCCCAAAGGCAAAAATTACTTTAATTAAATTTACTTGACTCTTTTCGTTGATTTATGACAGCATTTATGGCCACAGCCCTGGACAGAAAGCATTTGCATGGGTCGGAAATCTAGGAATGGGATCTACCTCTTTTCGGTTCCGTTTCTCGTCGGATAGACAAGAAAAATGCACTAAGCAAACCAATTACAGTCACTCTCGAACAAACAAATAAACCTCTGTCAAGAAACCCCTGCCTTGGCCATTGGCTTAAGCCTAATTTTTCCTAACCCACACAAACAGAAATTTGATTTTTGTTTGCTTCGAACGGGCATTGGGGAACCGCAGGCGGAACTTCAATCTTCCAATTCTCATCTTTAAATATTTGCCCCTTCAATTAGCGTGGTGTTAAAAGAGTGCGAGATAGCAGTGAAGAAAGCAACGAAATTACGGCGACAACCCTGGCGCTCAAAACCCAACAAACATTTGTATTGTTTGCTTTCCTTTGCCTTTACATCGTTCAAGTGTCACACTGTGATGTCAGACGCTGAACTTCAAGTGCGCTCATTTTCCTTTTTGACATTTGAACGCGCTTCCATCGCGCTTTCCAAATTGAAAAGTAGAATAGCCTCCGACTCCGCCTCCGTTCGTGGCCTGGTGAAACGGGTTTCGAAACGTACCTCCACTTACCCACAGACATACGAGTATCAAACGCTGAAACCCCGAGTTGAAAGTTCACTCGCGATTGTACGCTCGATATTGTAATCGCTTCGCTTGCCGATCACAGCACTCTCTCTCGCGCTTTAACTGCCGTGTCCCTGCCCCACTTGCTAAGCACAATATCCGCCGAAGCTCATATTAGTCGTAGCAGTGGAAGAGGTATAGTACGATAGTGGAAGGTACGGTACAAAGAGAGCGGGGGAGAACTCAAGAGTGGAGTAGGGTAGACACAAGTAAGAACGGTAAAGGGTTTGGGCACAGCGACGAAGGGATACCCAGTACTGCATAGGGAACTCCTGAAGTGAGTCAATAACATAGTGCAAATTAGTGAAACTAATACTAAGAAAGGTTCCATTGCTTTTTATACTATAAGATAGCAAAAATTCTATATTTTGACAGTAATAATTTGTAATATCGGACATATAAAACGCTTACACTTAAACGTACTGAGCATACCTCTTTGCCACAGGGTACCATAAATGGTAAAGGAGGAAGGAGCAGTCACGGCTTTTGTCGCTGCAGCGCTTTGGCTGCGGCTGCAGCTTTGAGTTCGAGTTCAAAACGGTTCGTTTTGGATTTCTTTACGAAATTAAAAGCACACAACGCTTAACCCGCGACCACAAATACAAAGTCACAAGCAGAGAGAGAGAGACACACACGAACACATGTACAGCAATTACACATGGACGCTGGCATTCATTGAGAAGAAGAAAAGCAAAGTAAACCTTTGCCCCCCCCACTCCCCAACAGGCAACACTCGTGGTCAGCGATTTAGAGACAATAGAAAAAAAAAGGCAAGCTGGAAAGTGTTTCATTTCAAGTGATTAAATCCGATTGCAGGAATGTTAATGTTCGTGCAGATGATTAATGTTCCCCTGCCATAAAGTTGTTTACTGGCCCAAATGGCCAGCAGGATGTTGAAGTTTTGTTGATTGAAATCAGTTCAAGGGAGTGCTAGGGAAATGATCAACAAATGTCTGATTCCAATCTCTCTTAGAAGTTGCTTGCTCACATCCTCCGAGAGATTTCATCAACTCTAGACAACTTCCCCCGCCTGTGTGGATCTATCTGGGATATCTCTCTCTACTCCACTGTTAGAGGCAAACCAAATAAACCGAAAAATCAACCCAAGTTGACCTGAAATTCCAGCTAAACTAATGAAGCGAGCGCCGCATGGGCTGAGGCAACACACAAAAAATTGGCATTGTTTTTGCCTGCTTGTTGTTGTCTTTCTTCTCGTTTGGTCTTTGCAGTTTTTTCTGCAGTTCTTTTGTATTCCATTCCCCAAAACATTTTGCTACCTAAAAAGAGAGAAATATTTATATGTGTGCTGTGTTTGTGTGCGTAAAAGCTAAAGATCAGCAAACGACGAAATTCTTATGAATGATGGAAGTTTTTTGGGTATGGCAAGGTAGTGGCAGTGGCAGTTAGATCGTGGCGAGGAGGGACAGGGGGAACAGAGACGGCACACAGGGTCAGTGGCTGCTGCTGGTCAAGCCCCGCCCGCGAGAACGTCTTTGAAATTCCATTGAAATTGTTGCCTTGCTTGCGGCTTCTCTTAGATGTGAAAAAAACGCAGCATAAATCGCCTCATTCCTCGGATAAAACTGGAGTATCTTTTTTTCTTAATTGTTTCATTTTTGTTCGTTGATTTATTTGCAGAAACTTTATGCCAAGGCCATATATGATAATTATGCAGACAGCCCCGACGAGCTGCCCTTCAAGAAGGGGGACATCCTCACCGTCATCGAACAGGACACGGAGGGCATCCAGGGATGGTGGCTCTGTGCGCTAAAGAACCGACAGGTGAGTGGAATATTCAGAGAGGGATCTTGAGAGAAGGAGAGAGAAACCCAAATCAAGTCAAAACATTTTTGGGGCCGAGCCGAGCGCCGAGCCATCAAGAGCTAACAGGGAAACGCCTTCTTTTTCATGTTTTCATTTACTTTTCGTTCCTTTTCTTGTTCTTAAATTACGAGTATCCGTTGGCTTGTTCTGTGTCTGGGTTCTGTCTGCATTTGTAATTAAGCAATCCGAAGGCATTTGCATAACTTTTTCCATTTCCATTTTTCCCATTCCGCCTCCCATTAGGGAATAAAAAACAAAAAACTCATTTAAAATTTTAATTTAATTTCTGTAATTGTTTCAACGCTTCATCATCGCTGGCACGTGGCCCAATTGATGGCGTTGCATGCGGGAGCTGCCACATACCCCCGAGAGGCTGTGCGCATATAAATTACACATCTTCTTTGGCACTTTAATTGTGTCTGCAGCCTGTTATAATAATCATCATCATCAAAATGATGGTCTGGCCTCCTAATGCCTGAAAAGGGGGTTGTGAGCATTGCCAGACAGTCCACAGATTACAGATTACCAAAGTGCATACAGCATTATCTTGCCACACAGCAAATGCCACACAGAAATTGTGGGGCATACAACATTATCTTGTGTGGAGTGGATAAAGAGGTCGAAGTTGTTTGCTTCGTTTCGCCTCGACTCGCTTAGATTTCGATGGTAAACAAAGTGGAAACCGAAGTGATACAACTTTTCCAAGGAAATTCCTATGGGCAGATAATATAAAGACTTGAATTGCGATATGAAAGAGTTCACTCTCAGAAAGGGGAAGTACCTGAAAATAGTGCCCAGATATTTCCCATTTCTGCTATTTCTTTCGCCATAACCCCCAGTAACCTCTGCTTCGAGCAAACTTTCTAAACCAAATCTCATTTATCAATGGCAAATTCAAACCTTCTTCTGTTGGCAAGCCCTTTCCCACCGCAAACTTCAACCTTAATTTTGCGAACGAACTTGTTAATGATCTCTAATCTAATCTCCCACTCGTTCGGCTTGCCCCGAGGCAACCTTGAACCGCTGCCTCCTGTGGCTGATTAACCCCACCAACTAGCAGCTAATCCGCAGCCCGCACTGAACAGAAACAACTTTTCAAACTTCAGATCACAAAAATGATCGCAAATTTTGAAATTTCTGCACGTCGTTCGGCGGCAATTTTTAATTAACAACTCAATTGGCGCCGCCACCAGCTAGAAAAACAACAACCCATTGGCCGAGTGGGGCGGAACGGCTGATGATGATGGTGTCAAAACATATATCAAAATGGAAATCAAAATTGGCAGGCAAGCGTTATAGATACAGATACTATGTATGTAGTATATGCCACGGTCCATTGCTGGCCGCCAATTGTTTCTAATTAAAAAGTAGCTGCAACTTTTTAATGGAAACAATTAACCCAAAAACAGACAATTGAGTGCCTGCCGACAACAGAGTAGCTGTGGAAAATACACAAAAAATAATGTTATAAATAAAAATCAACTTTTGGCATAAATTTCGATCGCGAAAACACACATGTTGACAAGACTTTGTGGTACACTTTGATGTTGCCCCCAAGGCAGCAACAGCATCCAGCAGCCAGCAACCAGCAACCAGCAACCATACAGCAATGGGAACATTTTTTTTTTGGAGAACATCTCACACCACAGATCGGTGTCGGAAAATTGCATTAAACATGTGGGACAGCAATGATCTGCAACAGATCTTAAATAGAATGGCGAGGAATGCGTCTGGCAATTAAAAACAAGCGAAAAATGTTTCCAATATGTTTTCCTTAGTCTTTTTTTTACAATATATATTTTTCATTAATAATTCATTCAGCATTGAGCTGATTAAAAAGCAATCAAAAGCAATTGAGATCATTGAGAACAATGGGGCTTGAGAACTTGAGAATTGGGAATGCAAAAATACTTAAAAATTCCATGCGGTTTCCATCTCCTCACTTTCATAGTTTTTAGCAATTTTCTTGGCTTTTCTTTGGCTTTCCCAACGCGTTGCCTTGATCGAGTTTCCCTAACCAAATGCTTATATGAATTATTTGTTGTTGTTTTTGTTGCAATTTTCACTAAATTTCTCTCTATTTTCAGGGTCTATGCCCCGGCAACCGGTTACGCATTTTGAACTCGTACGATTCGGGCTGCTTCTCGCCATCGCCGGCCAGCTCCCCGATACCCTCGCTGGCAGCCAGCACCGCGACGCTAAACAGCTCCATCTGCTCCGCGGAGATCTATGAGAATGGGTCCATCATCAGTGCAGCTTCATCGTCAGGTGGTGGGGTGACAAATGGCCAAGGAACGACGAATGGCCAGGAATCGTCAACTGCCACGCAGGGACGTGGCGCGAGACGATCGTGGCATGTATCACCGAACAAGGTAAATATTTGTTCCCCAGCAAATCCTGGTTGCCGTTCCAGTTGGTTTGTCAATTTCTTAATTTTCCGCTTCGTCGGCCACTCTCTGGAAGTCTCCGGGAGTCTGGGATCTCTTAATTGATTTCGTTTCTTTCTGCAACATTTACATACATCCTCCTGTTGCTTCTCTTCTCGTCTCCCGGTGGCTACTGAATTATGATATTTGTCGGGAAAGTGAAAGAAAGTCATTGCTGTGGCTCCTTCGGTCCATCATTACGCTTTGAGGGGTCCATCGTTCATCGTTCATCCTCCATGCCCCACACTCGATGCTCCATCCTCCACACTCTCCTTTCAACTCTCCTCTCCTCACGTCAACTGCGTGTCGTAATTGTGCAATTAATAAGAGTTGCAAGCAGTCGATCCTCGGTTGCAAGTTGAGGCTGTGCTGCGCCTCGTGACTGACTGTGCCTCTCGTGCTCGTGGGGCAGCAGCACTCTGGGGGCTCTGGCTGCAGCTGCTGTCCAACGGGTTTCCCCCCCACTTTGCAGTCGGTCTTGTAATTTGCCAATTTGTCAGCTGGACATGCGTTTTATTTGCATTTCTTTCACTTTGATTTGGTTTGATTTGGAAATTAAAGGAAACGAACAATTTGCCATCGGAAGAGCACATCGCAAGATCAATAGAGAAAGATCTCATAAATGATGCCAGGAGACTGAACAGATTGATGGGGAAAGAGGTGGATGGATACTTTTGGATAGATGCAAAGATAAACCTACAAAGTTGATGCAAAGAGAGATCTGTGACACTTTAGATCATGGCTAGTTCAATCTTTGTTAAACCTTTCGCTTTTATGGGTTTTCTATGGGGTTAACCCATTGCCCATTCTTCGCCTCTAATATTGCATAATAAATAAACTTAATTGACGCTGGGATCGCTGGATCATCATTAGCACCGCATGCACGCGGCGGCCTTCGAGAGTGCTGCCTGAACTTTGGCATCCAAGTACGCCCACCAACCATGGTGGGTTCGGGTCGTTCCAATGGATGGATGGATAGATCAGATGGAATGGGATGGTCAGTGATTTTTGGATGCGGTGGACTTTCGCTTTCCCAGCGATCTCTGGAGGGGGTTGGGGCTGCGGCTCGCAGGCAAATCAAATAAAATGAAACCCAAATTACAGAGTCGTAAACATTTCCTCGCATTATCGGCAGCTATCAATCTTAACTGGAGGCAAGTGAAACCATAAATTCAAATTCAAATTCGAATTCAAAGTAAACGCTATGCGCGGGGGGGAGAGCCAGTTGGCTGTAGGGGGCAGGCCACAAATTGCTGCACGCCCCAGCTGCCATTTCATTGGAGGCCCCCAAAAACTGCGAATTGCATTACGAGACCCGAAGCTGCAGTCCAAGTCGAAGTTTCGGGGAGAAACCTTTTCTCCTAGTCATAAAAGTCATAAAAGTCTGACAAAAAAAACAGTAAATGCTGTTCGGCCTTTGTTTGCTCGTTTGTTCGATTTGATTGACTCTGGAAATCTCCGCGTGCGAAGTTGAAGCTGTCACTCGAAGGCGTCAAATGGGATGTTGGAAAAAAGAGCTATAAACACTTTACACCACAAACTTTATCCCCATTCGAGTACTCGAAACGAAAGAGTGAATCTTCTCTGTGGCATTCCCTATTGACCTATTTTCGGGTTGCAGGTTGATCGAACTTTAGATTTTGTTGCTGTTAGTCAGGAAAGGAAGTGAAAAGTGTGACCCTGAGATGGGAAATGGGTAGATTTACGGATAGAATGAGAGAAATAGATCAGCTGAAACAGAAATAGATAGATTGAATAGATCGTGCCTGAATTGTATGCCAAATATCATAGCAACACCCTGAAAAACACAAAACGTGCAAGCTGCAACGCCTTTGCCCAGCGTCAGAGACATTCCTTGGGGCTAATTGAGAACGGAAATGTCTCGTCTAATGTTGTGCAATCGTTGGACTGCCTGCCCAACGCCACAGATACTACTCGTATTATTCCAGCATCCCACAACCCACATACTTAAGTATATTTTATGGCAGTAACCCAAGCTGGTGGTTGTTTTCGGAAAAACTCGCCTCCACCGTTAGACGGCAGCAGCCAACAACATTGTGTGACAACTTCAAGTTCCTTGAGCCCACATAGAGACTGCTGTTTGGAGCAGACTCCAACTCTATCTGCGTCTTTGTCTCCTTCTTGGTCACGCACTGACCATAAAGCCAAAAGCAAAACCCATTCGAACCAAGCCAAACCAAAAGGCAAAAGCAAACCGAACCAAAGTCAGGTGGTGGCCAAATGCAAGCGCTGTTGCTGCTGCAAAAGCCAATGAAGATTTATGGCCAGATCCAAAAGCAGAGAGCGAGAGCCAGAGCGGGAGAGCGACAGAGCGTCGACGACTCTTTGAAGCTTGAGCAAAACATGTCATTTTTATTTTATTGCCCAAAAATGGTTACAAATGCAGGCCCCGAGTGCCGCAGCAGAGCATTGGAGCATCGGAGCATCGGAGCAGCCACAATAACTCTTTTTTTTGTTCGTTGTTGTATTTGGGATTCTGCCGAGATTTGTGCGTGACCAAAGTTATGGCCAGTGTGTGGATCGGACAGCAATGCGGATTCATAGCAGAGTGTTTCGTATGTGGAAAGCGGTGAAAAGTCTCTTCACAAAAGCAGAGGAGGAGATCCGTTCGCAGCAAGGTCGTTAGTGTTATGCAGGGAACCGGGGGATTACCGCATTCGGCATTCGTTCAACAACAGTTCTCCCCCAAATCAGATCCTCGGATCCCTTTCCCAGTGATCGTTCATTCTTTCTCCTCTTTCTTTTCTTTGGATAATTAACATTTCCCATACAAATGTGATGTTGTGTTGTTTTGTTTTGTTTTTTTTCGGTACGTGAGAAAATGTTGAAATCCCAAAAGAACTCAAAAACTGCGTGGGCCACTCCGACGACTCTCGCTCTCCAGGGGGCAGGTGTCCGTATAGGGAAGGGGCGCATTGAAATGCATTCAACGAACGATACTGCGAAACTCCCGAGATGATTATCTCCTCGTTTGCTACTGTTTTCGGTAGTGGAATTTAAACGAGGACATAAAAAGATTTGTTTTCCTGAGACACCACGATACACATCTCCCTCCAAGTACACTCGAAGAATCTGGAATTATTCCTTGACGTGTGGGGAATACTACAACAAAATATCTTTCTACCATCAAAAGACAATTAAATGCGGGAAGAGCGGATGGCCCAACCCAAACCCAAGCCCCTGGAGTGCCCCAAATGTGTCATAAATCTATGAACTAAACACACAAATCTCGTGATATATGCCCCGGAAAACTTGCTCATTTGGGTCACACAAATAGAAAAACAAAACGAAAAAGGAAATTTTCGCTAGAAAGAAAAGGCAGGCCAAAAAATATGGGTCACAGGAAAAGACCAACCAAGCCCACAAAAACACAAAGAAAATAGAAACCAAACCAACCCAAACCCCCTGCTGGGTTGTGCTCTTCTTGGAGATTGGTTGTGCAATTGCCAAACCCAACAGCCAAAGAACCACTTTTCAGGTGGACAAGTCTTTGATGATCTTTAGTTCTGTGTTTGTTGGTACTTCAAATGGCATTCACATTGACCGCCTGGCGGGCCTCAGCTGTCCATTCAGCTGCCCTGATTCTCCCCTCCGATTAGATAAAAGATAAAAGAGGGAATGTTGTTGATATGCTTTTAACGAAACCATCCCGCAGTTTGTGCAGCCTCAGCTGTTCTCTACCGCATCGTATCCCTTTTTCTTTCTTTGCCTTCTTTTTTGGCATTTTGTTGACTCGTGTTACGCGTCAATTGGCACTTCAATGGTTAAGGTTAGAACAAAAAGGGAAACATAACTCTCGCTGGCAACCCGATACGGTATGGTGGGGGACTGCAGCCACAGCCACAGCCATAGCCACGAGTGTCCACTTCAGGTAGAGCACTCTTCATTTATTCATTTATTTGTTTGTTCCAATCTGCCCCTTTTCCATAGATCGATCCTCTCTCTCTTTTAGAGGGGCTACTTCCTGGCGTAACGGTTTACTTAATTAGGAATCGATTCATTTCGCTGAGCTGCAGCAGCGGTAGGCGTGTCTTCCCTCTGCGGTGGTACGTGCCTCGCTGATGCCACATATGCCGCAATAATATTTCATCATTCGACTGGCAGCATATGGCCACAGATCCGCATCCCCTAGACTTGGCCTCGGACTAGGCTTTGGGGTTGGTTAGGGGTTAGGGCTAGGCCTTCGCATATATTTACAAACTTAACGTGGATGTTGTTCTCGTATTAGTTTTCCAATTTGGCTTATGTGACTTCATTGTAATGCAGTTGGCGCTGAAAGATTAACTTTATGTCTAGTCGCTAATCCGTTTTTTATGGCAAATCAATATGGTTCGAAAAGCAATTTGTTGAAGGGCAACGGCCCTTCCATCATAGTTCCTTTTCTTCTGCAGGAAATGAGTTGTGCCAGCCTATCATATTTTATCCAAGCTTCAGCCATTGTTCATTAATTTTCCATTCATGTCCACAGTTCTCTATTACAATTCTCTGAATTTATTATTATTATTCTATATTAGTTTTGCGGGGGGTCCTTTACCTTGACACTGAACTGCCTTGAACTGCAATCCACAGAGGAAATGTCCTTCCCCCTTTTCTTTTAGTGCGCTTGCGCCACAGAAATTCCCTTTTCTGATAATTTACCCACTTGGCCGACGTACGATTCCGTTTACAATTCTCAGTTTTGGGGTCTGTGCAGTCGCAGTCGTGGGTTTCCCTTTGAACAGCGTCGCGTTTTTTGTACGCCTCAGTTTTCCACCTTTATTTTTGTACAACTTTTTATACTAGTGCATTTTTTGCAATAATTGAGATACAAAATGTGATATATTCAGACAGCAGGTGAGAAGAGAAACCGCAACCAGAAAGGGAACCACTTCCCTGCTAGCGCTAGACGGTGGTTCATTCACAGAACTTGCCAGACAGGCAGCAGCAGCAAAGGAAAATCGATAAGCCTACGGGTGTGGGTTGTAGCAAGGAATGCGACTAGTAGTAGTAGTAGTGGCAGACGTCGTCGTGGTAGCTGTAGAACCACCCATAATGTGCTCTAATGGCGACTAATCTATGCATTTTTCCTCTCTCTGGTTTCGCTTCAGGTAATTACACCACAGAGACACGGTGATGTCTACATCTACAACTGCTCGCCTACGTCGTTGCCTGGAGCGGGCACAGGAGTTCGCACCTCACAGCAGCAGATCTACAGCAACCAAAGCATCTACCAGAACCTCTCCATGATGGCAGCAGCCCAGCAGCAGAATCAGAACGGGAGCGGCAGTGGCAGCGAGTTCGAGACCTACGACATACCCAAGCCTGCCACGCCCGTGCTGCTGAACTACGACAGCCCCAAGGGCGGACACCCGAGGACACCCACGTCCATCTCCGGACTGGGAGCGCGCTTCGAGTCACTGAAAAGTGTGGTCGCCTCCATTGAGGAGGAGTCGTACGATGTGCCGCGACCGCTCATCAGCAGCGGCCTGCTGCAGCAACAGATGACGCCGAGCAGTTCGGCCTCCTCCCTGCTAACCAGCGACAGTCTGTCCCTCAGTTTCTCCAGCTCGAACCGCTCATCGCTGGCCAACATGCCCGACTACGATATCCCGCGCCGCAATCCGCTGCCCGTGCGCCGCACACCCCTTCAGCCGAGCGGCCTGACCTACGACTTCCCTCTGCCGCCGCTGCAGGAGCAGGAGCAGCGCCTGACCAGCGCCCAGAGCAGCGGCAACAGCAGTCCGGCCGTCGTCAAGGAGCTGCCCTTGGAGCTGAGCTCCGCTCTAGAGACGCTGGCCAAGCTGCAGTCCCAGACCACGTCGGCCATCACGCGTCTGCTTAGCTTCGTGGTGCCCAATTGGCGCATCCGCAGCCAGCTGGAACCGGCCATAATGGAGCTAAAGCTAGCGGCACTTCGCCTACGCACAGCCCTGCATGATCTGGCCGAATTCGGAGAGGGAGCTCTGGGCAATGCCACGCGCTCGGAGGATCGCAATCTGGCGTTGAAGCTGCGGCCGCTGGTCCGGGCCCTGCGGGATGCCAACAAGCTGATACACGACTCCAGTGAGGCCCTGGATGCCCAGGGCGGATGGTCCTTGGATGTGCTGGCGCGGAGTGACGAGAAGCATGGTTGCCGGCCGCCAGATTCGCTTGATCAGCTGATGGCCTGCGCCCAGACCCTCACCGAGGACGTACGCTCCACCACCAGCTTCATTCAGGGCAATGCCTCGCTGCTCTTCAAGCGTCTGCTGCCCGCGGAACAGAACGGAGGAAGCGGAGGCATTCCTGCATCCAGCGATGGCTGCAGCCGAGGCAGCGCCGAGTGGCTGGAGGACTACGATTACGTGGCCTTCGAGTCCAAGGATGCAGCGGCCAAGAAGAACCAATCGCTGCGCGAGGCCATTCCCGTTGGCCTGAAGACGCAGTTCGACACGGTGATCCGCACTGCCGAGAGCACGGCCATGGGAACGACGGGAGGAGTGAGTTCAGTGCCAACCACACCGACAGCGGCCACGCCCTGCAAGTCGCCAGAGATGACAGACAAGGACAAGAAGCTGGTGCGCTACTATGCCCAGCAGATTTCCACGCACATGGGCAATCTGATGCAGGCGATCGACTCGTTCCTGGAGACTGTGGAGAAGAACCAGCCGCCCAAGTTCTTCATTGCCTACGGCAAGTTCGTGGTGGTCAGTGCCCACAATCTGGTTACCATCGGCGACAACGTGCACCGCAATATTTCGAAGGAGGCGCTGCGCGAGAAGATCCTACACTGCACCAATGGCCTCTCCGATGCCCTGAAGACGTGTGTTCTCAAGTCGAAGAAGGCGGCGGCCCACTTCCCCAGCGGCAGCGCAGTGCAGGAGATGGTCGACTCGGTGGTGCACATCAATAGTTTGGCCAGGGAACTCAAGACGGTCATGCTGCAGGCGGTGCATCTGTCAACGGCCGCCGGAGTGGGAGCCTGAACAACAGGATTGTCCCGCCATCACGGCACAGTATTACGAACTGGTGCAGCTTCACCCTGCCCGCTAAGGTCACAGAATCAGTGTCTAGCGTTTGCGTAGACTTGCCCAGAGTCTTCCAGCCTGACAGCGCAATGTTCCTTAACGCTTCGTTCCCCCTGCACATCCATCCAGATGTACATCTGAAATTGGCATATCCACCCACAGCAGACAGAGGCGTCTGTCGCTTTTATTTTGCATTGTGATATTTTTGAGCAAAACATCTGAAAATGCACAGCACCCCCAGGAGTAGCAGCAGCAACAGCAGCAGCATCAACCCTACGATCGCACGATCTCTCCGCATAAAGTCGATAAAAACTGCAAACTACGATCCCATTTTAGATCCCCATCGGAAAGTCAGTCGCTTCCTGTGTACATAATGTTTCGCCCATTTAAGCTTAAGACTTTTGTAAATGTCCATCTTCCTAGCCCTAGCCCTAGCCGTAGCCCTAGGTGTAGCCGTTGCCCTAGAGCACGTCATCCTCCCAGCATCAGACCCGCTCATAACCCCACGCCATGCGCACAAACAATGTTGTATCAGTGAAGCATTTCAGCGTAGAATACTATTAATATAATATACCGTAGGGATAGTCGTAACCATATTATATACATACATACAGCAGCTAGGCATGTAGGCATATACAAGAAAAAAGTACATACATAGTCAAAATCTGAAAGATTTACATTCATTTACAACATTTTGCATTTGCGCCATGGCAGTTTAGTCATCAATATACAAAAAATATACACATTAGCATTAACTATCATTTAAACTGTATGAGAAAATGTAACAAATATGAATAATAGCATATGGTAAGAGTGGAACGAGGGACGGTGTCCGGTCCAAGCTTAAACTATGCAAAGGGAATATAATAATATTAAAACATAAAAACCACTTTGTTGCCTTCTACTATGGAATATGTTTTGGAAACTCCCGCTACTTGAACGCAAAAATGAGAGCTATCGAGCTATCGGTACTATTTTCAATTGATCGATTCAACCAAAAAATACCAACCAGGGAATTATTTCCGATATATTATATACCTTTCGGTATATTTAAAAATGAGATCATATATTTTTGAGGGTCAGCTGGTATATCTCACCACCAAAATCGCGGTCACACGGATGCTTATTTCAAGGACGCGCTCTGTAAAGTTTTTGGTTTTTTGTATTTTGTTGTTTTATGCATGGAACTATGCCGGATGTCGTGTGCTGCAGGTGCGGTTCACTCCCGCACAGTTTGCCATACTGCATTGGCGGGACCGGGCGAGAATATCATTGCTTTTGTTGTCTCAAATCGCCACCACAAAAGTGCATAAACTGCAATGCTTGGCGGGATATAGACCTGTCCATGGCGCACACTGGCTGCCCACAGGCTTCGTTTCATGTTTTTGTGTACACCGAGCCCTGGCCGCCATTTCCAAGCGAAACAGTCAACATACCCGCGGTACAACCCTCATCGGCAGATCTAATTCCATTTAACTATGAGCCCGAACAGGCGGTGCCAGAGGTTCGGGCGGAGCCGGAAGATTTGATTGTGCTTGACGACGACGAAGAGCAGCTCTCCGAGCCCGAGGATGTGAAACCCCCACGAAAACCACTACAAGAGTCGCATTGGTATACCGTCAATGAGATAAAGGAGTGGACCCACTGCATCCGGTGTAATAAGGAAAGGAATCGAATGGCCGGGTGGATTAAACATGCCCAAATGTGCGGTCAAGACCCACATAAAAATGCCAAGAAATTCTTCATATACAATCACATCAAAGGATGGTGTAACTACCTGGTGATGGACTGCCGCTGGGACACACATAGTGCCCCCAGCACTGGTACTTGCCGCACCTGCCGTACCGGGTAAGTCGATAAAAGAGACGACCTATTCAATTGCAAAACTAAGCGAGTTCTTCGATTTTTAGGCGGGAACGTGGCAATCCCCTTCCGTACATGCCACAGCCACCGGCCAGACCAAACGAACGCAAGCTGGCCGCACAGAGACTGAGAAACCGACGCATGAGAAAGCAGCGCCGGATGACACGCATGTTTAGTCCGCTACCATATTCAGAAGCATAAAGATTCACGCTTCATCATCGTAGATACTTAAGATAGTTTAAGAGTCACCAATGTGAGTATAATTTCAGTTTGCTATCTCACAAACGTACAAATAATCCAAAGAACGAAGACCAACGCACAAGCCATGCTGTTTCACGCATCCTTGGCACATCGAAAGCCCAGATTTCCGGCCGAGCTGTCCTCGGTGTTTTGCGAACGAGCCGCACAGCGGTAGCGGAAGCAGTAGGACTTGTGGCACAAGTAGGAGCCGCCCTTCTTCACACGATTCGGACTCACGCTGACGTCGTTCGTGTCCCACAAGTCCGCAGTCCATTCCCAGACATTGCCCACCATGTTGTAGAGGTCGTACACATTCTGACGGAATCTATCCACGGGGCAGGTGGTCTCGTATCCATCGTCAGCTGTGTTGCCATCGGGAAAGTCACCCTGCCAGATGTTAAGCCAGTGCTGCTCCTTGGGCATCAGCTTGTTGCCCCACGGAAAGAGTTTGCGTTGCTTGCCCCCACGGCACCCCGTCTCCCATTCTGCTTCGCTGGGCAGACGCTTGCCGGCCCAAGTGCAGTAGGCAACAGCATCGCGCCAGGACACATGCACCACGGGATGCTGCTCGAGACCTGTGTACAAACATGGAACCAGATGTCAGCAAGAGGAATCAACGTTAATATTTAAATACTTCACCATTCAGGTTGGTGTCGACGCCGTTGGGATTTCGCCAGCTCACTCCACTGACCTTGTACCACCAGGGAGCACTGGCCACGCGGTAGTTTTCGAGTCGCTTCTGCTCTGGCGCACCGAGCAAAGTCTTGAACAAGAAGCTATCGCCAAACCGTTCCGCCTCCGTCGTGTAGTTGGTGGCCGACACAAACTCCTCAAACTTTGTATTGGACACTTCGTGCTTGTCCAAGTAGAAGTCCTTCAGCTTCACCAATCGCTCGGGCGACTCCCGGTCAGCCTGGAAGTGCGGATTGTCGGTTCCAATGTGTACGCTTCCACCGGGGATCAGGGACATGCCCTCGATCTCGGGCTCCAACTCAGCATAGTAATCGCGATAGTGCCCGTTCGTGTTGCGTGCCTGCTGCTTGCACACTTTATCCGACTTCTCCACGACAGACGCCGCCCGGTCCAGCTTGTTGCAGCCGCAGTCACCATTCGCGCCTATAAGAAAAACAATAAGGAGCAGGCCGTCGAAGCAGGCCATCACAAAAATGTAAATTTTTAAATTTTACTTTTCCAATGTTTTCATTTTTCTGTAATTTCCACTGTATCGATATGGAGGCGATATTTCCAGAAATGCACCTGTATTATATACTAGACTATCGATTGACTAAAATACCAGCCGCATGATACAGAAATTGCATCTCTGGCATCCACAGTAAATTTAAGCGAATAACGGAATTGGCAATGTACGAAACATACTTTTTTGTTTTGTTTGTTTAATAATAATATAATTAGTCCAAACATGGGAACGGGCTGTGGTAAATAAAAGAAAAGACGAAACCAATTACCCTAGAGAAATCATCTACGCCGGCAAGGCGAAATTAGTTGATGATTTTCGGATTATTTAATTACATGCAACAACAGGTAAGTCGTAAGTCTCAACATATTGGAAACGGTACACACAAAAATTAAATAGGTTTAAATTAGTTTTATGGCTCAATTTGTTGTTAACAATAACTGTGAATGTGTGTGTGTGCTGCTTGCTATGCTTCACTGGGTTTTTCGTGCATCCATGGCCTAAATATTGGCAACGTTGAGGGGTAATGCGTGTGCGTGTCCGGCTTTAGCACCGATTCTGGCCACGTGTTCGCATTGGCTGCATCGCCGGAGTTGTTCCGGAATGGATAGGTCGCCAGCACAATGGGCAGCTGCAGCTTGATCTCCTTCTCCATCGACTTTGGCTCGATCACAAAGAAAACATCGTAAGATATTTTGATCAAGTGACAGCCGTGCAAGTTAGTCGGCGGCAGCGGTGGCACATACAAGCTCTCGTTATGCCACTCATCCTTCGCACCCGGACGTATCTTTCCGCGCACCAGAACGGCCAGCTCCCGCTTCTCCGTCTGCAGCACCTTGCCGCGCGCCAAGTACTCGATTGTCTGAAAGGAAAGCGAATAAGATATCAGTGAGGACTGATCAAAGCTGCGTCAAACTCTGGTGCTTACCTCTGTGAGCGATGCCTTGGTGCGCTTAATGGACACATTGCTGTAGTTCGAGATGAAGGCTGTGACCAGAATGTTCTCCCCCGGCACATAGCCACCTCGATCCAGGGACACGCGGCACTTAATCTGACCTCCACCCACGCAGACGACGCCGAGCTTGTGCTCAACCTCGCAGGTGAATGGTTGCTGTGCGAAAGGATACCAAGAAGCAGCGTAAGTATAATAATATCTGGGATTGATGATGAGTTGATTTACTCACTGCTAAAATCGGTTTCTCTAGGTTCAGATCAATGGGATTCATCACTATGAACACCTGATGGTTCTTGTGTATGATGCCGTTGTTCTCGCGCAGCGCCGCCTTGCAGTAGAACTGTATCCAGCCGTATCGGCCCAGGAACGTCGATGGCAGGCCCAAGGGCAGGCCTAGCTTGAACGGGAAGCTGTGTATGCCCGGTGAGAGTATGGCTGGACCGCCTTGGTCCACATCGCCGAGCAGTCGCATGCGAAAGTCAATGTAGTTCTCCTTGTCGTATGTCCGCTCCTGCCGGCGACCATTTCGAACCACGCCCTCCCCCACCACATGGAAGTGCAGTCCCAGCGCAGGCGTCTCATCCTGTAGCTCGATGAGCACCCGTCCGGACAGGAACTGGCCGGGGAAGTACAGCAGGGAGGTGTTGTCGAAGATGATCAGGAATTTAAGTAGCTTGCGCGGCATCTTCGCTGCGTGTGTGGGTGTGTTGCTTGCACTCCGCTCTTGTCTGCTCTCATTCCCCTATGGCTGCTCCGTCGTTGTCCCTGGAAATATTCAACGAAATTCAATTTAAAGGAAATTCCATTGCGTGTTTCGTTGTTTCGCGTTTGCAATTATTTGGCAACGTTGCGCATGCGTTGAGCTTGGCTCTTTTTTAATGACAACTTATCTGTCATACTTGGCTACGTCTCTGGCTGCGAGTACGAGTATTATGTAGGTATGTTTTCTTGGATATATTTATGTGGGTAGCATCTAGGCGGGGTAAAGGAAGCGGACAGCCAAACCAGTTTGGTGTAGCCCCTAGAGATGGCTGCGTGTGCGATCGTTCAACGCGTTGACTACATGTTACCCCGCGAAGCAAGGTCAGTCCATGGAACATCTAGTGATGCGGCTCGTGTCACGGCCCCAGCTCTGGGGCCAAAGTCAAGTATGTACATCTTGGCCAAAACCGTAAGCTGCAACTGCCATAACCGGGGAGCAGAGCCGAACCACTTTGGTGCATTGACTGACGACAATACACGTAGATTGTCAATTGGGAAATCGAGAGGAAATTGACGTAATTGGGAGGCCCATGGGAAGCCAACAGAGTCAAAGCTCTTTGTTGTCAGACAATCTACATCCGATTGTTGTCTTATTGTGGGTGCACCCGAAAAAAAAAAGATTATTGCTCGCTTTATGAGCTCGCTTATACGTACTTTTATACACACACACAAAGCTAGGAATTTTGTGTGTTTGCCAGCTCGGAGAATCGATCAGAAACGATCCGCTCAGTCCCGAAGTTTAATTGAGCGCGCGGTCACTTGGCCAAGATCTAAACCGCGCACGCTGACGTTTGTTTAGCGACTGAATCACTCGTCATCGGTTCATGCAACAGGCCGTGGCTCTGACTATTGCTGTTGCTGAACAAGATCAAATGAATGAACGAACAACTTGTTTTGAGCGCGTTGTTTGTGAGCAGTTTGCTGGCAACGAGAGATATTCAGCTGGAGTCGGGAGATGGTAGCTTCAGGCCAGATGCCAGATGCCAGATGCCAGATGTCGTAATATGCCACTGAGTAGCCTCGCAGCTTTTGATTTTATTATTGTGTACTGCTTCCCATAGTTGTATGTCTATACTTATGTTTGTTCATTTATATCTATGCTACTGCTTACAGGATACGTTTAATGTTACGCCTTTGTTTTTGTGGCAGACAAACCGTCTGCATGTTCACCTGTGCCTGACCAAAACAATGACGACCTCCAGAGCATGGCATGGAATTCGATATGGGGAACCCTTAGAACATTTCCGAAGCCGTCGCCGCCACTTTTGGTCTGCAATTAATCCAAACTTGTTTACACAAATGGAATGCCTCAGCACTGATTTTGGGTGAGTTATGCAAATTTATATTCAATTGATCCGCTCGATTACAAGAGCAATTCGCTAATCAAATTTGGTAATACTCGTGGATAGACACTTCGCACTCAGGCCAGGCCGGGCAGGTGTTGCGTTGGACTCTGACAAGTACGTTGTAGCCTTATTTAGCAAGCTAAATGGGTTTTGTTTGTGCATTTGGATTTGAAATTGGAATTGGTCGCACCTACAAAATGCTTGACTTATGGGCTGCGAAAGACAGACACCAAGCCTGTAACCGGCCTGTACATATGTACTTATGTATGTATATGTGTATGTCTGTACGTCTGGTACGTGTTGCACATAAATGCACATTAAGTGGCACACATTTATGCATTATGCATGCAATTCATACCGGTTTAGTGTTGTTTTTAGGTATCCGAAATCGAAGAACCTCAACTGTAACTCATGAAAATGAAAGGCCAAAAGCCAAGAGCCAAGCCGACTATCAAAAGAAAACACAAATCGCACTGGCTTCAAGAAAATTGAATCGACAAATGGGTTTCTTGCAGCCAGTGCGGGCATTATACACACTTAACCACTACAACAAGCAGCAAAGATCCTTTGATTTGATCAGGCAAAGCGCTCAACTTGGCTGGAAACTGCAAACATATTTGGACAGATTAGAGAGTTGAAAGAGATCTTTCCATTTAGAGGTTATTGTTTGTAGTCTGAATTGGCTGAGAATTGTGGACTTAATGACCCAAACAACAACCACGAAAGATGAACGGAGATACGGAGTAGAAGACAACGGCGAAGACGTGGAAAGATTTCCCAGTCTGCGGTCTAAACTGTACAGAGTATTCGGAAATTAGTTTACTTCTGAGTGGAGGTAGAGGTAAAGCGAAGTGGAGTGGAGGGGTAGCCAGAGACAGAGACAGAGACGTCTATAGTCTTGTTTGGACTGAAATGATAATCGACTAGCTGCTGGACTGCCGGGGCTTTTGGGTAGCCAGCAATTAAATGTGGTGAAGTTACAGTTGAGTTCAGTAGAGTTTAGCCGCTCCACGGGCACCCAGGTCTATGAATCTGAATCTAAATCTGAATCGCGGCCGCGCTTATCGCTTTTTTTCAAGCCAAACTCTTCAGTTGGTTTGAGGTATACGTATATACACTTTGTAATTATAGTAAAACTCTGTCTTTCATAATAGTGTATAGCGAAAGCAAAGCCAGAGCCAGGTTCGGCTTCAACTGGACTGGCTGGCTGGCGGCCAAGAATATCTCTTCTTAGCATCTGCAACTGCTCTCGTACAAGGGGAGTGGCCGGGACAAGTTATAAAACTTACCCACGATACCGTAAAATTCAAAGAGAGAGAGAAAAAACAAAAAGTGTTTCTTCATGCCAGAGCCCGCACTCCTCCACTGTTAGTCGGAGCCACAGCCACAGAGCGGATCCACAGAGCGGATCCACAGAGCTAACATGGTGTCTTGTCTTTGCTTGCCACACAGACCACTCACTGAGTTTATGTGTGTGTTTTAGCCACTGTTAGCGCGCTGCTCTTGGCTTCTTTTGCCAACTGCCGAGCGCCACTCCGTTTCGACAGGTCTCCGGGTCTCCGCTCTTACTTACTGGATGGAGGAGTTTCTTTTTAAGCTCAGCGCTCGGTCGCGTCGTGCCTCAGTTGTAGCGATGACGTTGAGCACGCTGGTAAGCCACAATTCCCGCACAGGGAATTCCGCTGTCGACCGTCGAGAGACAGAGACAGACAGGTGTAACGCGAGAAAGTTGAAACTGTAACAAAACAGAAACAGAAACAGAAACGTAGACTGTGGTGCACCATTAGCACGCTCGTAATCGTAGTCGTACCCGTACTCCATTCCTCTCTCCTCTCCTCCGTGAGTCATCATCGTTGTGGCTCACTTACATGGCGGCACATGTAACGGAATGAAGAGAGGAGAGCTGAGCAGAGGATAACCGCGCGCGCAGTGGCTTGTTCTAGTTTGTTACCGATCTTGTCAGCTCAAAAGTACACATGTTATTATGAGCAGCAGCGACAGTTACACGGCTCGGGCACTGCAGATTGTGCAGAGATTTGCATAATTGCCTAATTACATATCTTGACACGTTGTTAACAGCCAAAGAGAATGAGCGAGCGAGCGTCCAGCTCTGGCTGAAACGGGGACTATTGTTTCGCTGAAGAAGAGAATAACTGTCCATTCTCAATCGGGAGTGAATGGGGAAGAGTGTGTGCAGTGTGGACTGTGGTCAGAGTATTCAAACTGAGGCTCTAGCTCCAGCTCAAAAAGAGTGTCTGCATAAATTAGATGTAACAAATGTTTTGTGCGCTTTTGTGCAAAACCGTTAAATGCTCGTCGCTTCTTATACAATAATCTATTTGCATATTATTATACACCGGACGGGATGTTGTTATATCTAACCCACTTCTCTGTTTTGTGCCATTTCCACAGAATGCCAGCAGACACAATGCAGACCACTGACCAGACACGGTTCGAGCGCACGCAGAAGATGCTGCCCGTTCTAGCAGACGATGCTGAAGGGGAGGATGTCGAGTCGGTGTCCTCGTTGGCGGACAATCTGTCGATTTGGATCGATGGCGAGGAACACTGGATATCGGGTGTGGATCCAAACACAACCTGCGCGGATCTAATCTGCGCATTGCTCAGCTACCAAGACGACCCACCGGAAGCAGTGCCACCAAATGCTGACCCCCTGAAGCCAACAGCGAATGTCAAGCAGCAGGAGTACGCGATTGTGCAGAAGCAGCGGCACTACGAGGAGTATCTCGATGGCAGTGCCAGACTCTTTGATGTTATCAGCAATCGTCATGCCTCGCCAAAGGAGGAAGTAAGTTCACCAAAAGGGAACTTCAACTAAACGCTGTTTATCCTCTCAATGTTTCCCTTTAGTGTCAGCTACAGCTACGCCATTTAGCCACTTCATCGGCGCGAAAACACACCCCAACAACGGACAAGGACAGTGGCATGGGCAGCCCTGTGGACAGTTCTCGTAGCATGCGATTTCGTCGAAGGGGAAAGCACAAAGTGCTGCCCTCTCTCAATGTGCCGATGGCTACAGATCACTGGGGTGGAGAGACGAGAACGAATAACCCCAAGCAACCAAAGAGAAGCCGGAAATTGCCGCAGCGGAACTGCCACATGACTCCGAATGAGAGTCTGCTGACCATCATACTGGCCCAGGACGAAACTATCCTACAGCAGATGTCCATGTTGCAGTAAGTTATGCAGAACGAACTGCCAGGCAATTATATTTATGAATCCTCCCCTCCTCCTCCCAAAGCGAAAAAGATCGACAAATATTGAAAATCGAAGAGGAGAAGCATCGAGTGCGGGAGCGTGAGTTGGGCAAGAATTATCTGCTCGAAACGTATCTAAAAGACTTGGATGAGCCGCAGGCCATAGAAGAAGTCGATGAAGATGATCCAGATGCAACGGATATTCCCTTATGTACAGGTACAGCTAACGATCTCCAAATATCATTCCCCCAAGCCTGCCATTTAATGGAATTTCATTCACAGAAGATGATTATAGAGCGGATCCTGCTTGGACACCAAGCGATGTGGAGGTCAAGGACGAAATACGAGTGTATTGGCTGGAAAAGATTCATGCGGTGAACAAACAGCTTCAGCGGGAGGAGGAGCTGCTGCTGAGTCTGCACGCCAAGGTGCGCAGGCATCAGGTGAAGCGGGCGTACCAGACCAAGAGCGAGGTGATGCTGCAAATCGATCGACTCGATACGGAGCTGTCGACACAGGTAGCGGATATCCATCGAGTGGAACGGAAACTATTCACGGCCAACGAGCAGTTAAAAGCCAAACTGGGAGTGCTCGAATGTTTGGGTCGCGAATTCGAGACAACTGTAACCGTTGCTGATGCCCCCAATGATACTCATAGAGAACCCACAGCTACAACCACAGAAGAGGTCACCCAAGCAGACAAAGTGGCGAAATTAATCCAATCTTCCATGCGTGACGTAGATGATCTCCGTATATCCGTTAAGTTGCCGCCAGTATTAGAAGCAGGTGAAAATCACAGAAACAGAAACCCAAATCGCTGCCTGCCCCCCCAGGAGTTGGCCGAAAAGAACTTGAATGTTCGACATGTGGCCGACAAGGGCTTAACGAAGCAAATGTTTACCACAAGCCTCCCTACCTCACCAGCAGTGGAAGCCTGTCGGAGCGGAAAGCTTGTACCCAGAGAAGCAATCCCACTGGATGTCCTCTATGGAACTCCGCTGCATCCAGCCTTAGATCTGCAGCACTTGGGCACCCTCGTCTAGATTGAGGTGAGCGACTAGAGGGGGTTGTGTAGTGTAGAGTGGAGTGCAATCCATTTAAGAATCTCGTGTAACGTATTTTGAACATCCGTACCAAATTGTTGTCAACTAACCAAATAGAGATTTGATGTTTTGTTAATGTTTAAACATGTGTCCTGTATCTGTTTCGTGTTTGTCTTTGTCTAGCATGGACTGGTCATTGTTTTGTAATGGGAAATAATGGTCAACACTTTTATTGTGTCAATAACAACACACTAAAAACACACAGTTAAAGCCAAAATGCATTTAAACGGACACCGACCTAACCTATAATTATGTTTATGTTTTGGTATACTTCTTCAACTGCTGCATGAAGCCAGCATTGGGTTGGATGCAGGGCCGCCAGGACTTGACCAGATGGTAGGCATCCTCGTAGCACATGTCCCGCCGCTGCATCAGGTAACCGATGACAACAGAGGCTGACCGCGAGACGCCCGCGTTGCAGTGGACTAGAATGCAGCCGCGGGACTTGCGTGCCTCCTCGATAAAGTCTATGGAGACGGGCAGCACGTAGCGCAGTAGATCCGTTTCGGGCAGATCCAGACAGGGTAAGTACTTGCACTTGACTGATGTTGGTAGCTCTATGCTGGGGGTTTCTATGCCAACGCTGAGGATGTGCGTGAGCTTGAACTTCAATATGTTCTCCGCACTGACGGCATCTTGGGAGCCCAGATAGAGGAATTCACTGAGGATGCATGCGGGCACATTGTCAGGTTTTGTGTCCACCACAAAGCCATACTGGCGAGCCTCCAGCTGTTGGGGAGTGGTGGCTGTGCCGTCCTCGCTGCCAGAGGACTTGCGACGCTCAATGAAACGTGCACCGGTGGGTGTGGTAACGACGGTGGTGGTGGGCCTCAGATTGGCCAGCCGCTTCTGCAGCTCATACAGCAGTATCATGATTAGGGCTTAGTTTAGTTGTCCGTTGTATCTCTGTAGTGCACACGGCAAAGGTAGAGTCCGCAGGCTGGCGCTGGAAGTACTCGGGGATCCCAGGAGTGCTTAGAGGGTATGGTCAGCATTTGGTAGATGCACTTCTCGTCAATGCGGTCGCTGCCCAGCGCAAGCAATGCCCCCACAATGCGTCTCACTTGCTTGTAGAGAAACGATTTGCCCTTGATCTCTATGTCCCAATAGTCGTAGGTTTCCGCAGCCAGAGTGGCGTTCGAGGGCAGGGCAAGCGTGCGTCCAGGACGTATATTAAGCTCGTCGATTTTGCGCAGGGTAAACATGGGATGGTCACGGCTGGGGCTCTTCTGCCGGCTGACGCTCATAAATGTGCGAAAGTCGTGCACGCCGATGAACATGCGAGCCGCGCGTTGGATGCGTTGAATGTCGAAGGTTGGGGCACTGTGGGGGAAGAATGAATTAGGATGGTAGAGGAAACTGTGCAGGCAGAATACTTTACATCAAAAAATGGCATCGATCGATTTCCTCCACGGGCACAAATGCCTCGAATCCTTTGTCACGCAGCCTCCCGTCGTCGAACAGGGGATTACGCGCGACGGCAAAGCGATACAAGTAGGTCCTCCCTATGGCGTGGTAGCGACAGTGGAAGGTATCTGGCACCACTTGGCTGCTGAGCACCCGGATGGGTAGGCGCTGCTTGTCCAAAGTCCTATTGAGAACTCCCGTCAGCGTTGTGGTATCGTAGGGTTGGCCATTCCGGCGCTCCAGATCCACGTGCACCGTCGAGTGCAAAGCATGAACACCCGCGTCTGTGCTGAGAATGACTTTGATTAGGTTATGCCATTGACTATTTAGCCTTGAGACACTTACCGACTGGACAGCACCGTCTGTATCTCGTTGGTGGGATGGAATACTTTTAGTGCCAGATCCAAGCAGCCCTGCACGGAATTGGTGTCCACAGTCTGCTGTTCCAATTTGTTTATGGTCTTCTGTATACCACTGCATGAAAGAATAGTTGTCGTGTATGGCTCAATTTAGCTTTTAGTTAACTAATTCTCACCGAAAAGTCGTGCCTATATACGAAATGTTGAGTAAATATCTATGCATCTTCCTTTTACATATCACTTCTCACACACTTATTTTCTGCCATTGTATACCTATTTAAATTGTTTTTCTTTTGTTTTTTAATTGTTTGTTCACTTGTTTGTTTTTAAGATTTTTTCGTTTGGTTTTTTGGACTTGTTGATTTTTTAATTCTTAATTTTTCGCACGGTTGCATTTTAGGCTGGATTTTGCAGTACTTTCTTTACATTTGGTATTCGTCTTTAGTATGTAAACGTGTGTAAACTATTAACAGAGAAACATTTGGATGAGCCATGTTAACTGATAACACTGTGTTGTGTGAAAAACGCCAAATTAGTGCCGGAAGCAACTATTAATTTGTATATGTAATGTAATGAAATGTTGAGTAAATATCTATATTTCCTTCCTTTCACACTGGTACCGCGTATTTATCGATATACCGCACGACCAAAACTATACTTTCTCATTTTATAAATATCCTCGATTTTTGCTATTCTAATTACTATTACTAGCTAGTTGGAATTCTCAGAGCTGATTTTATAATTTTATCCAATTCATCAATATATTTTCCACAAGATTGGTCAGCTTTAAATACTCCCTTTTATCCCATTCCATTAAGAAACTATATAAATAGTTTTTACTTTGTAACTACATATTTAATACATGTAAACAACACCACAAAGGTGAGCTAGCACAGCAAGGCGCGTCAACTATCGATGGATAATAGTCAGATATCAATATAAAAAGCTCATCCCAAAAAAGCTGCAAGGTGTGTTTCGTGAAGAGGGTAGACCGAAAACTCAATCAGCTGTTTATCGATAAGTAAAGTAAGCGAGGCAGGTTTTGTAAAAAGTTTTGTAATCAAAAAAATCAAATTTGCATTTGCAGAGCCGGTTATTTATAAATTTGTTCCGTAATTTAATTCGCACAGCACCAAATTCAGCGCGGAAGTGTTGCCCTCGTCAAAAGGAAGAAGCATAGAAAAAAAATAAAGAATGGACGGACCATTTGCAGAAAATCAGGATTTTGAGGTGAATAGTTGGATTAAATTTGGCATGCATCTGGGAGTAAGTGCTGCCCTGCATCCATATGAGTACTCCAAGACGCTAATTCAACTCGGATATGAGCCGATTGCAGCCATTCCCGGCAAGTCCTGGTCGGGCAAACCAATCATGAAGCTGCCGAACATTTTCCAATACAGTGGGTACAAAGTTCTTGCTTGCCGGGCAGGATTGATTTCATATCGCTCTTACCATTGCAGCCGGTCACATCAAGAGGATTGATGGGTTTTATGGCTGCTATCGCGGCCTGGCACCTAAGTTGGTCGGATCCGTCGTGGCGATGGTGGTGAGCGAGCGAGTTGCCGACAAACTGGGACTGAACCAGTTGGAGGAGAACAAGCACGACACTGATCTGTCGGAGGAAGACGAGTAAGTGTTCAATTACTATTATCCTGCAGCTCTCTTCTGATTTGTTGTCTGATTTGTTTTAGGTATGCTCAGTTTAAGCAGAAGCTGAAGCGTGATATTGTCGTGACTGTGAGCGGAATTGTTGCCTCGCATCCATTCCACGTGATCTCGGTTCGGATGATGGCCCAGTTTATTGGACGCGAGACTCTCTATAGATCCATAGCCGGTTCGATTGTGGAGATCTGGAAGACTGAGGGGATTTCTGGCTTTTTTGCTGGTCTGGTGCCCAAGCTTTTGGCCGATGTGGCCTGTCTGGTTCTCAGCAGCTCCGCAATCTATATTGTAAACAAATTCTTCATCAAGGACAAACTGGCCCGGCAGTACAACGGTGCGCTCATGCAGTTCAGCTGCTCTAGTCTGCTGTATCCTTTGCTGGTGGTATCCACATGCTCGACTGTGAGTGGATCGCGTCTGATGGCTGGCCAACCGCCCATCATGCCCGCCTACGCTAACTGGGTTGACTGCTGGAACGATCTGCAAGCACGAAAGGAGCTTAAGCGGGGCGGTTCGCTCATTTGGCGGTAATTACATAATCGAATTGACTTCTGATTAATTACTAATGGCCACAACATCTTTTCTAGCACTCAAATCAGACGTACTCCCCGCATTTCGGATGGTTTTGTGCCCTTGCCCTCGCTGGCTCGCTACCAATAAACAGCACATCACACATAATGACCATACGATGAGAACAGGCTCTGGAGTCCCATCCCCATCAACTGCCAAACACGCCTATCGGTGTTTGCCTTTGCATTTTAATGGAACCACGATGATGATGAGGTCCAACCGAAGACAACCGCATTTGTTTTACTGCGACAAACCCAATTATACATCTACATATGTGGAAGTGTATGCATTCCCATCGGGGTCGCTTAGCCTTACGTTCTATATATCCTCGCATTGTATCCATTTATTAATCCGCATCCCTATATCTCCAAATTCCCCTAGAACGAAAACTGTTCCAAAATACCCACAGACTGCGCATGATCCTTGTTAATGTTTTATTGCTGCAGTTTTAAAAATAAAAATACCCAAAGAGCGGAGAAAAGAACATTTTAGTATGGGGGTATTGGGGCGCAGGCTAAGACTAAGAAGAATAGAGAACGAAGATAGGAACATCCCATAGACACGGTAATATAATTGTTTACGAATAAATAAAATAAATATGTTGCATACTTTTGGGGCGCATGTGCAAATACATAAAATATTCAGCATACTTTTGGCATGCACGTGTAAAAAATTAATTCAGTTCCGTAGCATGCAGCTCTTGACACGATGAAAAAACATAAAAACCAGCTACTTGCTGCTGATTTATGTTCGCCTGGTACCTTGCAAGTTTTTGGCACTTGGATTTTGCTTTTTTCTGTGCCGATCAAATTGAAAGTTGGACAACAACAACAACAACTTTACTTGTACAACAATTATTGTTTGTTGTACAACAACTATTTTTTGTTGTACAACAAAATGGCTTGACAACAACAACAGGCCAGAACTGTTTTGTTGTTTTCTCCGTTTCCTGTGTGTCGATCAGAATGTGTCGTACCTTTTCGTACTCAGGACAACTTCCCCGAACCTTTTCAATCAGTTTCGCTTCAAGGACATCAAGGATTAGGGATATAATTTCTATAATTTCGCCATTTCTCAACCGATTGAGACGTGATACGAGTCCTCGTGAGCGTAGTAATCTCATGAATCATTTGAATCCATCAAGGACCTCAAGGACCCCAAGGGAGGCAGGATATGGCTGATTTACGTTATTTTGTAAGAGAAAGGCATAAATTGGCCAGCCTGAAAGTATGCCATGCTGTTCACTAAATAAACCCCCAAAAGTATGCCATGATTATTTGCTATTCCTGCTTTTAATAAAATAAATAAATACAAAATTAAATACAATTTGTATTTTCTATTATTAGAACTAGTTTTTCAGCTTAAATTGTTCTTCTCTGCGTAACGCATGTACTCTTCAGATTGTAGATTGTCTTTCAGCTCGGCGGGCTCCCCAGTCATAATCGAGTTTGATGGCCAGCTCCTGGGCAAGATCTGCATGTAGGCCGGCCGTGCAGCTGCAATTACACCCTGAAATGGAAGTAAATGAAATACAATTAAATGGAAGAAGAGGCAGTTAGTTTATGAACAGACTTACCACATTCTGGAACAGTTTTTTTCTGTTTTTTAATGAAATCCATTGAATAAAGTCGTATAAGCTTGTCAATCGATTTCCAAATCAGCAGCGAAATTCACAAGAGGACGGAAATTGGGATCGTCATATGTGTCAAGGGTTTTCGGTTATCTTTAAGAATCTGCAAAGAGAAAAACAATCAGTCATTAATGGAAACGCCCAAGACTAGGAGAACAAATTGGATCGTAATTATAATGTGCAATACAAGATACAAGCTACAAGAGAAGAGCCTGGCCAGGCCAGGCCAGTCCAGCCTCGCCCCGGGCTTCAATCATTATGCAATTTTTATGAAGACAGCCTCGCGAGCCAGTGCCAGTTACTTTCTTTGGAGGCGGTTCATTGAACGGTTTTTAGGGGGCCAGCTCTGGCCTGCCTTTGGGCTTGAAACAGGAGCAAACGACGCTGCGTTGTGTCGCTCCTAATGGAAATGGATAATGGATGCAGCAGAAAGGCAGCAGCAAGCAGCAGCCTTGGCAGCGACTTTAGTTTGTGTAGGGAACAGGTTTCGGGGTTGGGAAAATCTCTGCGGCATGTGTTTATGCACTTGTTTGGCCTGGTCGGTGTCGTGGCCACTTCACTTCAATTCACTGGCTATCAACAAATACGGCCCATGGGAGATTATACGACAATTTCAATTTAAAGACTCTTGTAAAACAGAGCAAGCGCCAAAACTTGCTCCGACAGTGGTTCGACAGTGCATAAATTTGTTTGGGGAGGGAAAATGAGTTGTCAAATGATATGGGCATACGGGGAGGGGCTGGGAGAGCTGTCTATTAAAAATTCACCGAGCTGCAGATAACAAACGACAAGAATCAGCAGTAATACAATATACAAGATGTCGCTGCAGATGGGTTCCCCCTCGAAACAAGTTCGCCAGCTACGCGCCTGGAAGACCATATGAAAAGCGACTCCAAACAGGCGGCGGCGGCGGCGGTAGCCGTGTGCCATCTGATCGCAGACTTCATTCAGTCTGCAACTCGCGTTTCAGCCGAGCAGACGCGCCAAAGTCATCGTACAAGCCAGACCCAGATCGAAACACAGTCCAGCCCAAGCCCCAAGTCGTAGTCGTAGTCGGAATCGTTTTGACTCCACAATCAAAGCAAAAGGCAGCTAATAAAAAGTGCTAATGGTGTATTTAAAATATGAATAATTGCGAGTGTATGGCAGGGCCACAAAAACGGTTACAAGAGCCACAACCACAACCACAACGGTAACGATAACAAAAAGAGATTTTCTTTTTTTCGTGGGACGAAGAAATCGCATTTGCATTTCTCTCCGCGCTCGCTGGAAGATTATATTGGATCAATCGCCCATTGCCCATCGTCCGTCGATCGTCACTGTGTGTTTTGTGTTTGTGAGCGAGTTTCGAGTGAAAGGTTACTAGAATAATAATCCGAATAATAAATATTTAAATGCAAATATTAGAAACCCGTTAAGAGGTGCAGACGACGTCGCCAGAAGAAGAATAGAAGCAGCGGCGGCCGCGACCTCAACTCAATTTCTGGGAGAGTCTCTCTCTCTGGGTAAGTCTTTCGACATGATCGACACTCCTATCATTTGCTGCGATTTGTAACTGTCACAACACTCGGGCGCGGGATTCCAGTTTCTGTTTTTGTTTTTCGATTGTATTTCTTCTTTGGGGCAATCCATAAAACGTTTTAATAGACTCGCACTCGAAATTACAATTGCAACCGCAGTCGAAGTCGAAGTCGGAGTCGAAGTCGGAGCTCTGCATGAATCAAAGTTATTAAATAATTAATGGCCAGCGGTGCAAAAAGAAAAACACAGATTGCTGCATGTTCGGCGTATTATTTACGGCCTGCTTAGCTGGCTTAGCTCTCTGCTCTGTCTGCCTGCCGTGTGGAGTCTCTCATTAGGCCAGGCATGAAGCCGCAGCCCCAGACCCAGACCCAGAACCAGAACCTCAACAGCCAGCAGCAAGCATTCCGGCCTAGAAGATCTCATTCGAGCACTCATCGAGACAATCGATTTGCATGGCAAAGAAAGCTGCCGCTGCTTCGACTCTAATTTTTGGCAATTACATAAAGCCAGCGCCGTCGGCCCCTGCGGCCAGCTCCACAAACCGGGGCCACACGAGAGATCGCGGACGGAAACCGAAACTAACTTCTAAGACACACGTTTATTTTTGGCCTTTGCTCATTAACATTTATGATGGATTTCCCAGGTAGCAAACTGACTAGAGATAACTTTGAGCTTCAGCAGCAATCCTCCTCTCTGTCTATGTTTTTGGGCAACTAGCAGCCAAAGCGATCCTCCTCAGTAGAGTCTTCTTTTTAAGAGCATTTATTTATGACGGATTAGGCAATGTAGATAGAGTAGATAATGGAGTAGATCAGATAAGAACTAATCTCTGCCCACTTTGTGTGTGGACAGGGGCTTGTCCACCCGCACCACTCGCTCGGCGACATTCAGATATGCCTCGTACTCCACGATATCGGGCGTGGTGTCGTAGTGGTAGTGTCCGCCCCAGTTGCTGAAGGAGAACGAGTGGAAGTGCTGCAGGCGCAGGTCGAGGTCGTGTTCCTTGGTCACCAGTGTGCCGACGGCATTGAGCTGGGCGGGCATTTCGTAGAACTTGAGCCACTCGTTGACCTCCTCGTCGGTGTGGATGGGCGTCGTGCTAAAGTCACGCATCACGTGCTGATGGGCGGCGCCCTTCTTGATCAGGAAGATGCCACCCAGGCCCACTACCTTGTCGCCGTAGTGCACCTCTAGCCCCTTGCGGATGCACTCGATGAAGTTCTGTTCGCCGGTGCGCTGCTTGGCGCTGATCTTCAGCACTTGTCCGGGTGCTCCCTGGCTGAGGAACAGGTTCAGCAGCAGCGCGCAGCGGGGCTCTGTGTGGGGTATCTTCTCCAGCACGCACTCCTCCTGTGCTCCACGCACGGTGGCCGTGTAGCTGCCGTTCGTCAGCTCTCCCGTCTCGCTCACCGACAGATTGTAGATGCCCTCGCAGTTGGAGCTGCGAATGGGCCAGGGTCCCGCACCGGCGCCCACAGCGAAGATCTTGCCGGGTCCCTGGATCTTCCGCGTGATCTCCTTGATGTTGTACAGCTTGTCCCGCTGCACGAGGGGCAGCAGGAAGGGTGGGCCACCAGCCTCCAGCAGCGTGGGCCTGCCACCCAGTCCGCTCTCAACCAATCCGAACCGTGCCGCCTTCAGATCGGGGCATGCACCCACACTCACCTCCACCTGGGCAAAGTTTCCACTCAAAGCACCCTGTATGACTGCGACAGAGATAGAGAGACAGAGACAGGGAGCATTAAATCAAAAGCTTTATCTTTCATTTCATCTAAACAAACGAAAGAACTTTAAGCTGCCCGAAGCTCACCCTCCGCCCCAGCCATATGTTTTCTTGTGTCTCTGTTCTGTTTACAGGCGTCGTACGAAAACAAAGAACAGCAAAGAAAAAAACACACAGAGAACGGAGAAGAGAGCGGCGGAGAGCAGAGAGAACCGAAATGAAACTCTACTGAAAACCGGCTATGGAAAGTTCGACACAGTTCTGAAGGTCATATGCACATGGCATCGGGCGGCACGTAGAATCTATCTTTAAGAGATGATATTTTCTTTCCCTCACCATTCTGCAGCTCCGACAATGGGGGCACGTGGAGCGGCTTCTCCTCGAAGAGCAGTTGCTCCGTCTCCAGCTGGCTCTGTGTCTGTTTCTGGCTCATGCTGATGCCCCAAGGTGTGTCCTAGTTGCGGTTATTCCTTTCTAGCTGCTCTGGTTCTGGCTCAGACTCTCCACTGGAGTGTGTACCGCTCTCTAGATCGTTGGAAACGCGACTGTGCGCCGCACACCGCCGCCGCTTCGCATTTCATTGCTTTGGTGCTTGAGTAGTGCTTGGGCTGCGGTTCGTCCTATAGTTAACATTGCTGACCGTACAGGGTGACTTCTGCTGTGTCGTTTGATAAGATAAACTCTTGGTTTAATTTAGTTTAATTAGTGTCGAGATGTTGAGTTCTTCCACTCTTCTGCCACCACACACACGCTCAAGCCGCATGTTTCGGTGTTATTTCTTTTTATGGTGCAACTTTTAAGTACAGTAACACCTTCATTTAACGACCCAAACGAAACGGTACGCACAGAACCTACCCTACCAACATTTTCGGTGCAGGGCCACGACAAAACTTTCCACTTCTTTATCAACACTTTCACTCAACAAAAGGTTCTTCAGGTGGTGCCCTAAGACCGAAACTGGTTCCCCATTTCGGTGTGTTTTGTGTTCCCATTTATAGTTACTAATTTCCATATAAAATCATATTCGTAGACAGCATGAAAGTTGTTCTCCAAAGTTGATCTATAATTTATGCCTAATTTCTGATCTATTCTTAACTCATTGTTGTCTGAGATTATAGCTGTGATTGCAGTAAACATTTTTACGATGCTTCCCTATGCTGGCACCTTTCACTGTGGTAGGTGGTGACGCCGAACGGCGACCCTCCACTGATAGTGCCCGTGGGTCTGCGGTTCTGCTTCTGAGTTCTGTTTTGTTCTGTAATCGTGTTCTGTCATTTAGCGGTCACGTTTAGCTACGTTCACAGATAACACACTTTCTGCGGTTCCTAGTGGAGGCTCTAATGTAGTCCCCATTCAGGGTGTTGCTCAGGTCAAGCCACAAGTGCTGGGAGAGACAAATCAGGCTAGGGCGATAATTTGATGAATGGCCTACCTAATGAGTGTGCCAATTGCGTGGCCTCAATGCCGAAAGATAGATTTCAGACATCAAAAGTGTCACTCACTGACAGAATCCACGCACCGCCGGAGGGGCAATCATGTTGTAAAGCTGTCCAGCTCTCCTGGTTTTCTGGCCGAAACTGGTCCACGCAATCCATCATTTTGCCAATGGATAGATAGATAGTTTATCATAATTACAAGTTGCTCCGAGAGGACCAGGAACCAGCCACGTCCAGACCATCTACAGGCATTTGTTCTAGACGACCTCGTTACCATCCGTCGAGAACTTGCCGCTGACCCAATTCCATCGAGCAATTCACTTTTTTTGCCAGGCAATCGTTGAGACCAGGCAATAGGATGGTGGGGGAACTGGAACCCAAACTGGTTACGAATTGTGTCAGCGCTAATACTCGCAGACATGATCTTCTGCTCTGGCCCCCTGATCTAACATCTAACATCTAACATGTGTATGTTCTGCCTGTCCATGTCACATTAGGCAATGCCTGACAGGCGCCGATCAGCGACGTCGTCGTAATGGGCAACCGCATCGCAGCGACTGCAGCAGGAGGTGGCGGTGGAGTGGTGGCTGGTGACGAGCTGCCTTCCAGGTTCAACACACGCAGACGATACCAGCAGCACAAGCGGGAGTACTGCCTGCAGAGCGAGTATCGCTCCAAGACCCTTCCCGCACGACACCCACACAACGATCACGAACACGGGGAGAACCCGCAAGACCCAAGGCTTGGGTCCAGCAGCTGCCTGGGCGGACCACAAGCAGCCAATGGTGCACCGCACAATGGTGAGACGTCGCGGGTGTTGTTTCTGCTCTACTTGATTCACCGCACCTGGAACGTGGTCATGGACACGATGGACACACGCACCAAGAGGTAACACTCCATTTGCTTCGTTCTCTGAGGTTTACTCCAACTCTTTCTACTCATTCCAGTCGTTCACCTCACAGTGGTTCGCCACATAAAGGGGAGACCCTACCGATGGAGGCCCAGCGTCGACCGATGGATGAGGAGTGCTCCATTGGCATCACAGATTTGGATGCTGTCTCCTCCTTCTGCTCCCAGTACTCATGCTGCAGCTGCAGCTACTGCGACGAGGATCCAGCGGGGACACAGACGAATGTCTACAGCTCTATTGCTGATGATTATTCCCTGGACTCTATGTTCGAGGAGGGAAAGTCACTGGCCGAAGAAAGGTAAGCTACGAGCAAAGTTCTCTTCCAACCATTCAACAAATGGCAGTCAGCTTCTGTCAGTGGGCATCGAACAAATTGCATACTTTCCAGCTCTAGAATGTGTGTAGCATGCAACGGTAGGTGGCGCCCCATCGACATGTAGATGTACATTTTGTGTCATGTAAAAACATGTAGGCAGGTTGTCATAGAGCATTTAAGGATTCTTTGTTTTATGCAATCATTTTATTCGTGGGTCGAAATCAGAGTTTAGAAGCAATCGTTGATGGAGGGCAGGGAGCCATCGCAGTACTTCCAGGTGGACCAGGCGGACCATCCCTGCTGGGAGAGGACCTTCTGGGCGCAACGGACGGAGCGCTCGATGTTGTCGGTCAACAGGTCGTTGCAGCTCAGGCCGCACTCGTTGTAGGAGAAGCGACCGCTGGGAGGAGCGCACCAGTAGTAGTCGTTGATCTGGAAGATTCCGTAGTCGTTGGAGCCGTTGTAGTTCTCGGGTCCGACAACGCCGGTGCGGTAGGAGCTCTCGTGCTCGGCAATGCAGGTCCAGCGGGCGAGCTGATCGCGGGGCACACCCAAGTCGGACATCTCGCGGGCCAGGGAGCAACGGTCCATGGTGCGACCGAAAGCGGGAGCGGCCAGAGCCAGGGCAAACAGAACGATGAAAGCCTTCATGATGATTTCAATTATTGGAAACTGATGTCGAATGGTGCAAGGGTTTGAGCTTTTATAGCCGAAAACTGCGCTGATAAAGGAGTTATCTTGAGCTCATTCACTGATACAAGCGGTTCCCTTAGTCAACAAGTCTAGAAATTGACCATCGCCATATTTTAATTAATAGCTGATAGGGAGGGAGGGCTAACAGAATAAGCTTTCTCAATGGATGGCTAAGAAGCCTCCATATCTCAATTCTAAAGTAAACAATGTTATGGAAATCGATAAGTTGTGCAATTTAGACGCAGTATAAACATTTCTTCAACTACTCGACAATTTTCGATCTTGCGATCTTTGATAATTATGACGACAATCAGTGGATCGATCTTCCTTAAAACGGGATGCTGCTAAGACACTTTGATTATCACAATGTGATCTTTTTTTTCTGATGGTTTGAGGCTCATTTCCACATTCTTCCGCCTAATCATGGCTTGGCTCTTGTGGTTGGGTGTTTGGAGATGCCCTAAAGCGCTTGACAGTCTTCATCAGTTCAAAGTAGTTCCATTGCTACTGTTTCTTATAACCAGGTCTTATATGAACAGAGACAGAGAGAGAGAGAGAGAGAGAGAGAATAGGCGGTCTTGCCGAATGCCACTTCGGAGTTGAAGCTCGGCTCGTGCGATCTTCGTTTCACGATCAAAATGCAGGCCCAAACCCGGGGATCGTGGCTCGTTTAAGCTGTGAGCCCGGCTCTCGATCAGTCGGTGCGTGACTTTACTTCTCTTCGGACTTGTGTGTGCAGATCGCAGATAGCGGAAGCGAACGAAGCGCGCTTTTGGTTACCAATTAAGACGAACGGTGAACGATGAACGATGAACGATGGCTTTGTTAGCTGTTCTTGAGGTCTAGCAAAGTTCACTCGTTAGTGGCATTTTTGAGGTCTTAGTGCGGAAGCGAAAACTCAACGATCCCACAAAAGGGATACTGTCTGTCAATCTTTGTCACTTTTCGAGCCTCCCTCCATTCTCCACCTCTCCGACACCTCTCTGGTTACGTGTCGCAGACGATTACGCGATTTATATATATTTTCTTATTGTGTATTCTCTCGGGAGGAGAAACAAGTTTGATTGGATACCGTGTAGAAGTGGACTTCCCCCTCTCCGCTGGCTAACAGCATCGCGAGTGCCACAGTGAGCGCGCGCAGATTGCATTCTAACGGTAAAACGAGTACGACTCTCGGCTAGAACTGGCAAACTGGCCCCACAAAAGCCCCATGCTGCATGCCCCTGCTGCATCTAGTGGCCTATTGCAGCATCCACCGGACAGTGGCAGCGGCCAGTGGCAGTGCCTCTTCTTCTCTTGTGCTGCTAATCTTCTCAATTTACGTTTCTTGTTCGATGACGACGCAAAGTGCAGCATGAAAGTCAGCTCAAACTGTGCCCCAATCCTCCAACAAATATGAAGATCATGTGTGTGTGTGTGCCTCGTAGATTTTAAGAACGTTCTGCAGCAGCAGTGCCCCAATTTGGATTCGTGTCAGTACTCCGTGCTCCGCTCTGCACTTGATCCCAATTGGATTTCGGACAGACGCACCATCAGCAGCAGCAGAAGAACCTGTAACCGCAGTAGCCGCATATGCAAAATAGGTAAGAGTCATCTCCCGCCTCTCTATCTTCATCTCTCTCTCGGGGGAAAAACTAGTTCCCGATCTAAGTCAGAGGGTCAGATTCAGATTCAGATGCAGAGCTGCCCAAGGCTTCTTCCAGTTGGTCAACAGATTTGGATCCCACATGCCACATACCCATACAGAGACCCCAGCCCCTGCTCGAAACTTATGCATATGCTAATGGGACCCCGACTTTCTTTTAAGCTACTGCCCAAAATCAAGATATGTAAATCCCTCAGTCAGTACACGGGGCTTTCGTGTGGGAGTACGAGTAGCACTGACATTGAACTGTGACGCCCACTTGGGCATAGCCCATGGCCAGCCCAAGAAAGTAAAGAAACTCTCCACAGAGATTCGGGCTAAAATAAGAACGCAACACAGACAATGGCCAAATAGATAAAATAGTAACAAAAAACGGGCCATAACATAAAGGCGTTATGACTGCGTGTTCGTTATAAAAGCATGAAAACAAATTACATTCCTCTGTGTAGCCCCCATGGAAAATTGAAGTGAAAATTGAATTGGCAGCGGCACGAGACTGCGATGGACTTCGACGAAGCAGCCCCCCAAACCCCAATACCCAAACCGACTAACAATGCCACTTTGTCCAGCCGTCCAATAGCAAGACAAAGCCAAAGACAATGTAGAAGAAAAAGCAGAAGAAACAAACATAAAAAAGAGAAGAAACTGAGAAGATACTAAATATATAAATAAACAAGATAAAAAGGTGACTTTCAGTGGGGAATTTAAATGCTTTTGGATGCCCTTAAAGAACTTTAAGAACTTTCCATCAGAATTTATACTATTGCTAAGAGCTGTGTAGTTTATATTAAAAATGAATGACAACTTACAGGGAAGTTATCTCTCGCTCTTCCATTTCGTATCCTGTAACAAAAGAGAAAGAACTAATATTAGAAAATCAAGAACATAATACATAAACCCTATAAAAAGCCCTTGCAAACACATCCCAATAATAATGGTACCCCTTATAGAGAGTAGACGCAGACTGACAAGAGGGCAAACAGCGAGCATTCGTATTCCCAGTGTACGGAGTCGAGCTACAGAAAAATCTGTTCCGGTCTGATTTAACAATTGCTAAACAGCTTATGCATTGGCCATGCCCCAAAAGAGTGTGTTGTGTGTGGGGCATGCCGCTGGCCTGCTGCTAGGTGGGGCGTCACACGCAATCCACCGAATAGCCAATTTACTTTCGGTGCTGCCCAAAATACAAAAACAGTTAAAAGAAATCTTTCTTTTTTCACGCGATTTTGTGGTCAACTTTTGGCCATTCTTTGTTGGGTCTTTGTCTTCCTGCTGGGAACTGCAGCTCCAACAGGGCCACAGACCACATTAGAGGCAATACCATCAAGGGGACAACCAGATGTTGGACACCTTGACAGGCCCCTGACAAATGGAGCAACAATCGGTGATCGGTGGGCATTGAGTAACCCAGCAACAACCACCGCACTTGGGCAATGCTCGTAAACAGCAGGCAGTAAATAAGAGCAGACATTGGGCCATGGGCAGTGGGCTTTTGTTAGCCACCAAAGACTAATTGAAGCCAATGGGCCACGAAGAAGGGGAATCAGCCACAAAAAGAGACACTCAAATTGAGAGATCAGAGGCCAATTGGTCCCCAAACAATGGGACTGGCTGTTGCATCCACATTCAGATCAGGTGAACGCAGAGTGACGGCGCACCTACAAACGTCATACCCTCCGATAGGGGATTCACAGTTGAATTTTCATTCATATTATCGAAATTATCAATGAAAAGATCAATATGGTCCGATTTGCAGTCGAATCTCGAATATTCAAAGAGTTCCGATTAGCGCTGCTGCCATAATGCCCATCAGATTTGCACGGAACTACTCAAAGATAACCCTCCTTGGTCACGGGCAGATAGTACTCCGATTCTCCGACTATAAAAGCTCAAACCCTTGCACCATTCGACATCAGTTTTAATTAATTGAAGTAAAAATCACCATGAAGGCTTTCATCGTTCTGTTTGCTTTGGCTGCTATCGCCGCTCCTGCTTTCGGTCGCACCATGGACCGTTGCTCCCTGGCCCGCGAGATGTCCGACTTGGGTGTGCCCCGCGATCAGCTGGCCCGCTGGACCTGCATTGCCGAGCACGAGAGCTCCTACCGCACCGGAGTGGTCGGACCCGAGAACTACAACGGCTCCAACGACTACGGAATCTTCCAGATCAATGACTACTACTGGTGCGCTCCTCCCAGCGGTCGCTTCTCCTACAACGAGTGCGGCCTGAGCTGCAACGACCTGTTGACCGACAACATCGAGCGCTCCGTCCGTTGCGCCCAGAAGGTCCTCTCCCAGCAGGGTTGGTCCGCCTGGTCCACCTGGAAGTACTGCGATGGCTCCCTGCCCTCCATCAACGATTGCTTCTAAACTCTGATTTTGACCCACGAATAAAATAATTGCATAAAACGAATATCTGTTGAATGTTTCCCATTAATTCTGCTCCTCCATGGACATTCCTTAATCTTTGCAAAAAGTTTCTCTTTCTTTGTGGCTGCACCTTTTGATTGATTGGGTGGGATTGGGTTTGTTTTGCTGGCCAGGCTTTGTCTCTGTTCAAATCACTTTCTAATCCCATGAATAGAATATGAATTCGCTAATCTAATAGATACTGTCGCCCTATCGTTTGGCCATAAATAAGTCAGTCGAAGCGCGAATTTAGAAACTTTTGCAAGACAAAAACACAAATCAAATGAATTCGGCTGCCTTTTTGCGTCTTTTCTCCGATAGAAAGTAAACCCCAAGCCTGGTTCCACAAGTGACAGCGCGGGTCAAACGCCAAATTGTATCCAGCAAATCTCAGAGACATATTCATTATAATTCCATTGAGCACTGCGCTGGGGACCTGCTCGAAACGGAGGCCTCTGAACCAGTCAAACTGGTGCCTCTTGAGCGCAGAACTCGTCAATGAGTCGATATTTAAATAAATAAAATAAGAAACATAAAAAACGTAAACACGTAAAGCAAAATATAAAAACTTCCGTCTCCTGTCCAGCTGCAAGATAACTTCCAACGTTCAAGTCTCCTCCGAAGACAAAATAATGTCAAATCGATTATAGAAAATAATAAACGGAGCCTAGGGCCTTCCCGAAATCCCCAAAATTGTGCACACGATATTCGATTATTAGTCGATTGGCATCGCAGTGCCCAGTGGGTTGTTGTTAGAGAAATTTCGTTGCGGGTGAAAGTGAGGCCACAAAACAAATCAAATTATCCGTCAAACATTGTATTTATTTTCAATCAAAAGCCAAAGCTTAGAAGCAATCGTTGATGGAGGGCAGGGAGCCATCGCAGTACTTCCAGGTGGACCAGGCGGACCATCCCTGCTGGGAGAGTACCTTCTGGGCGCAACGGACGGAGCGCTCGATGTTGTCGGTCAAGAGGTCGTTGCAGCTCAGGCCGCACTCGTTGTAGGAGAAGCGACCGCTGGGAGGAGCGCACCAGTAGTAGTCGTTGATCTGGAAGATTCCGTAGTCGTTGGAGCCGTTGTAGTTCTCGGGTCCGACCACTCCGGTGCGGTAGGAGCTCTCGTGCTCGGCAATGCAGGTCCAGCGGGCCAGCTGATCGCGGGGCACACCCAAGTCGGACATCTCGCGGGCCAGGGAGCAACGGTCCATGGTGCGACCGAAAGCAGGAGCGGCCAGAGCCAGGGCAACCAGAACGATGAAAGACTTCATATTGAAAGTGTACAGAAGAAACTGATGTCCAACTGCACGAAGGTTGGAGCTTTTATAGGACGAAAAATCGGTATTATCTGAAGTTGTTCCTTAGATAGGCAGGAGGGCCACTATCTGTGGGAGTGTATTTGAATCTCTAGAAAAAATCCCCCTGAAAACGTTCAATCCTCATTTGATTAGTGCCTAGTCAATGATTACTGAAGATAAAGAATTTTGTGGCCAGACAGCACTTGTGTAACGGAATGCCAAGCTGTCTGTGTTTGCAATGATAATTCAGATATTTGTAGTAGTCTTACAGACTTCTTATTTCATTTATTAATCGTGTTGACGGAATCTTAAATTGTTAAGTTTGTTTTTCATAATTAACAAATTACACTCGGTTTCGGGATAACTTTTTTTTACTATTAATGGATCCATAGAATGGTCACAATACTTTGATCAGTTGAATTTTGTCTGATTTTTATGTGCACCTATTGAATATTTCCACAATTTTTAAAATAGGTAGAAATAAATTTATATTAAGTGCCATTTACAGATCGTTTAGTCCCAGAAATTTCGAATAAAAAGAGTCTTTAACAGCAGTGTTTCTGTTTTAAATGTAATCATTTATATTTTGAGAGAATAATTTATGATTTCTAAGTGGAAGTCGCCTTTACTCAACTGCGGCGACCCTCGTCAGAGCTTACAATCGACAAATAATTGTATTTCGTATCCCCAATGGGGGCATGGCCAAGGAGCTTGGAGCAATTTCAATAATCGATTTGACATTTTTTGCATGGGCATAATCATATCTCTGACAGAAGACGGAAGTTGCTTTGAGTTTTTATGAATTTAAATTAATTCTGCGCTGACAAAAACCAAAGCCACCCGTCCAACTGGTGTTCAGGGCTCGAATCCCCCTCCGCTCAATGGAATTATAATGAATTTGTCTTTGGATCTGGGTTGGGCAATTACTTGACTGTGACCCCAGCTGTCGTTTGTCCATCAGGCGTAGCATCGCTGTCACTTTCTACTGGAGAAAACCCAAATTAGATTTATTCGTCTCTTTTTTGGCAACAGTTTCTAGTTTTGCTCTTATTTCATCAACCATCAACTAGATTAGAGAATCCCCATGAATATGCATCATGTGATTAGAAAGTGAAAGCCCAATCAATATGAACCAAAACAAAATAGCCATAAAAAGCAGAGAAACTTTAACTATTCTCTGATGCAAAAATACCACAAATATTCGTATTGGTTTTATGCAATTATTTTATTCGTGGGTCAAAATCAGAGTTTAGAAGCAATCGTTGATGGAGGGCAGGGAGCCGTCGCAGTACTTCCAGGTGGACCAGGCGGACCATCCCTGCTGGGAGAGGACCTTCTGGGCGCAACGGACGGAGCGCTCAATGTTGTCGGTCAACAGGTCGTTGCAGCTCAGGCCGCACTCGTTGTAGGAGAAGCGACCGCTGGGAGGAGCGCACCAGTAGTAGTCGTTGATCTGGAAGATTCCGTAGTCGTTGGAGCCGTTGTAGTTCTCGGGTCCGACCACTCCGGTGCGGTAGGAGCTCTCGTGCTCGGCAATGCAGGTCCAGCGGGCCAGCTGATCGCGGGGAACGCCCAAGTCGGACATCTCGCGGGCCAGGGAGCAACGGTCCATGGTGCGACCGAAAGCAGGAGCGGCCAGAGCCAGGGCAACCAGAACGATGAAAGCCTTCATGGTGATTTGTTGGTTCGGAATACGGGAGTAAACTGATGTTGAGGTCCTCGCAATTGTCGTTTATATAGCACTTTCATAGGGCTGGCGCCTTATCTATCGCAAAGGAGGAGAGTACTCGAGGCGTGAAGATAAGTTGATAAGCATATTGGGGCGACTGTCAATGGGTGCTGTGGCTGCTGGCCTGATATGGCCTGGCCATTGCCGAAGCTCACTCGATTGATCAATCAGTTCTTCAGTTCTAATCTCAAATGTTTGTTTACAAATATCGAACCACTGACGTTGGCCGTTGGCCGGCCGTTCGGTAATTGGCTTCGATCTGTGATTGCAGAACCGTTTGAAAGTAGAAGAACTTTTCTTGGCCATAATCCTAACAGTGGTTTCGTTTTTCCGAAAGTTCAAACGATAATTAGTGGATTCTCGAGGGGAAATGTTGCTTAATTGGCCAAGGGGCACCAAGGGGACACACTTTGAGTAGCGACCTTTTGCCTCATGGCTAATGCCTCATGCATAGGCAATGAGGTTCGGTCTATTGGAGATTCTCTTCTCTTTTCTCGTAGAATCAACTGTTACTTGACACACTTTTGGGAATGACTGTGAAGACCGTCAGAGTGTATTTTAGTCGTCAATAAATCAGCGAACAAAAAGTAAAAGTGAGAAACATTCTTTCTTTTCTTTCTAAGCTTTCAAAAGAATTGGCCACTCATTGGCGATGGGAGAGCTCTATTCCAATGTTCAAAAATTATCATTAATTTATGAATTCATCTTTAATTCATGGGCGGCCTCGCAACATACTTGAAAACGACTTTGTCTTAATAGCTAATTCCTCTTTCGTCATTCCATCAGCAAACTCCCATCGCCCCAGCAATCTCTCGACTCTTTTTACAGTAGCCTTTTGTCATTTGTCTTTGGCTGTTAACCACACGCCACATGCGAAAGGTTAACAACTTTCTTGCCAGTCAGAGTCGGAGTCAGAGTTGGAGTCGAAGATATGCACATCCCAAAAGAAGCACTCCGCGGGCTCACCTCTGTGGAAATCTGTGTTCGACTCCCTCCTCGGGGGCTAGTCGAATGGTGGGTCAGGCCTTAGGCCACAGGAATACCGCTAGCCTGTCCGCCTGTCTGTCCGTACGCCTCCTCAAAAGTCTTACACTCGAATGGGGTTAATGTAACAGCCAACTGAGGCTCTCTGACGTTTGCATACTTGCGGTTGTATCGTTAGTCAGAGCCAAAGTCAGAGTTACAGCTCGAGTTGGCGTTGAAGTTGAAGTTGGAGTCTACCTCCGCCCAATCCATCCATTGAGAAAGCAAAATGTTCAGCACACAGCTCATGGCTTATGGCGCTCTATGATGATGTTTGATGTTTGCTATGGATGTTGATGATGTGCGGTAGCCTTGGGGTTCTCGTTGTCGAGTCAGTGGTTTTACGATCGAACGCATGCCCGTTACAAGCCAATAGCCCAAACAGAGGAGTTCTTCCACCAAAGCTAACGTCTTACTCAAGTACTCAGAAGTGGACCCATAGTTGGAGATGAAGTAGGAAGAAGAGCTGCGCTTCTCGTGTACCATCTGCCCACGGATGGAACCCCCCAACAGTAATTACCCAGTGGAAACGCAGACGGAGATGCTAACAAGGTTAATGGCTTAAAGAGCAAACGTTTAACTTAACAAAAAATTAATACCTTCTGCCCCTAAAACCCCTGGCAGAGATGAGGCCAAGCTTGGCCTAAGCTTAGCTGTCGCGACATTTCGAGGACCACGCGATTAAGGGCCCCACTTGTCTGGCCTGATAGCGTGATTAATTATACGTCCCGTCCTCTTTAGTCTTAAGTTCCGATAGCACCCCACTCGAGATAGTGTTTAGAACATGGCGAAAATTGAGATACTTGGCGGCTATAAAAGCACACGCCACTCTCCCTTTCGACAACAGTTTCAATTAATTGAAGTAAAAATCACCATGAAGGCTTTCATCGTTCTGGTTGCCCTGGCTCTGGCCGCTCCTGCTTTCGGTCGCACCATGGACCGTTGCTCCCTGGCCCGCGAGATGTCCGACTTGGGCGTTCCCCGCGATCAGCTGGCCCGCTGGACCTGCATTGCCGAGCACGAGAGCTCCTACCGCACCGGCGTTGTCGGACCCGAGAACTACAACGGCTCCAACGACTACGGAATCTTCCAGATCAACGACTACTACTGGTGCGCTCCTCCCACCGGTCGCTTCTCCTACAACGAGTGCGGCCTGAGCTGCAACGACCTCTTGACCGACAACATCGAGCGCTCCGTCCGCTGCGCCCAGAAGGTCCTCTCCCAGCAGGGCTGGTCCGCCTGGTCCACCTGGAAGTACTGCGACGGCTCCCTGCCCTCCATCAACGATTGCTTCTAAGAAGCAATTCAATTCTGATTCCCATTCAATAAACTATGATTGCAAGCTGATGTTTGGACTGGTTGTTGTGCCCGAGAGTGTGCTCGCGTGTTCCCGGTGTCCGTCTTAGCAGACACTTTCTAAATGGAAAGAAATGGGAGAAAAGTGAGGAGAGAAAGGCCAAGAAAGAATCGATCGCAGCTTCCCTTCTACTTGTTCCGAGACATGGCATGGAATGGCCTGGCCTGGCCGATGGGCCAACGTTCGTTGACGTTGGACCGGTCAATGAATTCTTAATGTGGCGGCCATCGGCAGGGGGGGGGCAATAAATTACACAAGTGGCCGCCGACGTCGCTCGGGCTGGTGATAAATGTACATAAAGTGGGATCCAGCTACAGCAACAGCTCCGGGTAGTCGTCTTAGAACGGCAACGGCAACGGGAACGGGAACGGGAAGTGGGGAGCTGTGTTCAAAGGAAGTGGAAACGCAAGACAGACCCTCTTCGGGAGGCACGCATCGATCGTCTGGGAAGAGACAGAGAGAGAGAGAGAGAGAGAGAACTGGGAGGGCCTAAAACAAAGCAGGAAACCATAGACCGGAAAATTACACCATTCCAGGGAAAGAGGAGATGGCAGAGACAGCCCCTGCCTGTGTCCAACCCAAGTGCCCCTCGAGTGTTTCCTATAATCTGAAGACATTAGCACAACTCCAGCACCACAAGTAGTGGAAATGCATAAGTAATTGTCTTCGGGGCTTCGAGCTTCAGGGTTGGAGTTGGAGTTGGAGTTGGGCTGCGACATTGCGTGGGTCAGAACCAAAGACAATTGGATAGAAGTGGAGTGGAAGTCACTCTACCGTAAAGTTATGATGGTCCAGAGATATTTGTACTTGTACTTCGTAGTTGTAACAAAGCAACGCTGGAACCACACTTACCGCAATGAGAATGAGGAGGGGCCATAGGTTCGAGTTTACACTTGGTTTGTGGCAGATCTAATTGGTTTCCAAGGAGGAGGAGTACTTGACAGGCAGATGGGAATAAGTTGTTGGTCTGTTGGGAAAGAGGTTACTGGAGAATGAAGAACCCAAAACAAGATTCATGCAGAAAGGTCTCAGGTCATAGATGTTTGTAGATGATTGGAAGAAGGAGGAAGTTCCTCAGACATCACATCACACGATCTCTACAACGATTAACAAGAAAAGTCCCTAAAGGAATTGAAAGTTCCAAAATAGTTATAAAATAAGAGCAAGATGAACAGATAGAAATGTGATGATTTTTCATTTATTTTATTGATTGCAAGGGCTCCATAATTAAATTATCAACAAAAAAGAAGCCACTTTTCAAGTATTTTTCTGGTTCTTTTCCACTTGGAATATGTACTGTGCGAAACTGCACTGATCTGATCTGATGCCACACAAATTGAACGATAGCTGATAGCAAAAGGGGGTTTACTTTTATCAATAGTATGGCACACGCGTGCCATTCACAAAACGCTCGAAAGAAAAGGCAAAGTCTGAATGGCAGTATGGTTCCAGAATCAGCAGCGTGTGGAGGGATTGCTCGGGCGATCGCTTGAGCGGTCCGCTGGAAAGTTCTGGGGAGAAAGATCTCCGCTGAAGGATCTGATTTCGCAGTGGGTGAGTCTCCAGCTCAGTTCTTCTGTTCTCTGATGCTCAGGCATTACAATGTCAAGGAATAAATATTATATTACTGCTTTTTCCACCCGGTTACGTTTACATGATCTTCAGCGGCCATGACACAGACACCAGTGGCCTGGTCTGGCCTTTTCTTTCGGCATCAATTACCCGCTGAGCCACCAGTGCCAGTGCCAGTGCCAGTGCCAGTATCACTCTGCCCCACAAATTCGACTCACAAATTATAGACATTTCCCTCTCTCGTCTGTCTCCTGTCGCTTGACAGCCACCAAAAACGCAACTGTGTCAAATGGCAAGCTCCAGAGACCAGAGACCAGAGCAGACCCCGCGCTGTGATATTGTTTCAACAACCTTAAACCATAATTATTATATTTGACAGCTGGTGGAGCTATGTTTCTCTCTTGAAATATAACCCCAGGGCCCTCCCAGTGCTCAATCTGTAGCCAACAAATACCCAGTGAAAACTATAATGAGCGTTGGAAAAAGACTCTTTCCACCCAAAACCAAAAAAGACAACGTAGAAACGTATTTTAATTTGGAGTCAAGCGCGAGGCCGTCAAGCATGACAGTCGACAATCAAAAAGAGTATAAAAGTTCAAAAAAAAGATGACAAAAGTCGGGAATGGGCGATGAGATCTTGGAGCATAGCTCAAGGGAGCTCTGACAGCCTTGGGAAAATTCAGAGGAAATCTCCATGGAGAGATCTCTGACAGCAGCTGAAAAGTGGCCACATTTCTTTCGTAGGTTTCGCGTTTGCTTTGTTGGTTGCTAAATTCTCCTAATAGTCTTATCTTTCGAGTGTGAAATGCGAATGCAAATGGGGCTAAAGAAATGGAACTGCCATGAGAACTTTTGTCAGGCGGTGACTTAATCTCTGGCATCTGATGGCAGTGCCAGCGCCACACACCACATCCGATGATGGTGGAGTGTCTGTCTGTCTGTCTGTCTGTCGTCTGTCTTGTGCAACACATCATCGCAGCGGGCCCGAATGGAACACACAATTTGGCAAGGTGTCGGCTCAAACGAAACGAAGAGAAACTTTTACAATTTTCCACTTAAATTTCCGCCTTCTTTTGATGGCATTTGGCAGAGAACAACGCGCATGCGGATTGCGGGAAAGTTAGCTGAGAGATGAGAGTTGAGATTCTGGTTGCCATGTGGCGGATAGGATTAAAGTGGATTCAGCACATCCATCATCAGTCAATCAATCAGCAACGAAACTGTCCAAAGAATGTCGTTCAACCCCGCTGGCGGACACCCTTGAGAATAGCGCTACAAATTGATACATTAGGCTCGTTCGTGTTTGCCCGCTTTAAGACAAGGCCCAAACCGCTGCTCAAAATGGCAAAGTTGATCTCCAACGATTAGCCCCAAAAGGCAATCCCATGGATACCCTACATCCATGTATCTGTTCATGTCTCTCTGCTCTGCTCTGCCGCTGGTTGCCATAGATGTATGTACCTCTGATTTGAAATTGTTTTCAATTGCAAACTAAAAGTCCGTTGGCACTGCCGATGCCAGCCAGACATTAAAAGTTTCCCACTTAGGGGGGACCATCCATGATAAACCCCCTCGATAACGGCGGCCAGTTTTCTTCATACGTAATTTGTTTTATGCTTGGAAATTAAATTAACTTGTTTTTTTCAGCCACAGCCCGAGCCACAGCCCGAGCCACAGCCACAGCCACAGCCCCGCCGATCGAGTGCCGCGATTGAGGCTCGGGCTGGCTGTTGGCCATAATGTCTAATAGATTTCATTTGCTTTTAGCCCGGTCCAACTGTCATAATGACACTGTTATGTGTGGGCCATTATGTATATACAATTTCACTTTTGCAGCCAAAAGGCTCTCTTTTGCTCCGTTTTTTTAACGACAATTTTGCAATGGTCCCCGAAAAGCTCACTCAAACGCGTCATTAAAAGAAATATTTATGGGTTGTGCACTCCTCGAGGATTTACATAAGGTTTGCATACATATTTGGAACACTAAAAGCAATCGTCGATCGATGGCAGCGAGCCGGTGCAGCCTGGCCAAGCGGACCAGCCCTGCTTCTCCTGAATCTTTCTGGCGCACATCACGGACATGCCAATGTCGTCCTCCAAGAACACCTCACAGACTGTGCGGCACTCGACCTCCCTGGGAGTTTCGTTTGCAGAATAGCACCAATACTGATTGCTGATCTGGAAGATCCCATAACTGCGGAAGCCCTCCTTGTTCGCCGGGCTCACCGCATCCGTGTGGTAGTTGCTTTGCTTCTCGGCAATACAGGCCCAGTGGGCCAGCTGATCCCGTGGTACGCCATGTTGGGTCATCTCCCTGGCGAGAGAGCAGCGGTCCAAGATGCGGCTAGCCAGGATGTCAGGTGCAAGGCAGGCCACAACCAAGGCACAAATCACTAGCAAAGCTCTCATTGTAGAAACGGTTTAGGGTTCGAATTGTGAACTGATGATTGGATCTTGGAACTGGCAGTATTTATACTCAAAGTGAATGACAGGAATCAAGAAGATTATGTGCATTTATTGCTTCATGGATTCGCAAGACAAATATGTGCAGTTCCTGGGAAGTCTTATCAAGGCTATGTACATAAATATGTACACATTTACCTATGTGTTCATATTTACATGTGTATTTAATTACACTTCTCAGAAAAAGCATGTAAAACATTAGACATCGCATCAGACATTTAAGAATGCAGTGCAAATGTAGGGTATCAATTGTCGCCAACTTAAGAACTTGTAACAGAAAGACAAAAGCAAAAAAGTCCCGTTGGTTACTGCTATGCTTCACACGAGGTCCCGTATTTGCTGAGAGCGTCGCCTCAGCTGGCGCTCAGTGTGTCGCATTGTTGCTGCAGTTGCTGAGAGCGGTTGACAGAAACAGTTGCTGAGAGAGCGACTGACAGAAGGAATTGCTGAGAGAGCTATGCCTCTCTCTCTCTCTCTCTTGCAGATCTTGAGATAAGACAATTGTTGACAATTGTGACTCAATTTGCACACTCGCGGTACAACAAGGTGCAATAAAAACGCAACAACTATAGGGAACAAGTCTTTCTATTAAGAAAATATTACAAGTGCCTCTAGAAATCTTTATTCGGCGGTACAATCCTAGGGATAGGGTTTTCATGTTCCACATTTTAAGACCTAGAAACAATTGTCGATGGGTGGCAGATCGCCACTGCAGAAGTGCCAGACGGACCAGGCGGGCCAACCCTGCATGGAGAGCACCTTTTGGGCGCATCTCACAGATTGGGTGATGTCGTTGTCCAGGAGAGCATTGCAGCTGAGGCCGCACTCGTTGTAGGAGAAGCGTCCATCGGCCTGGCACCAGTACAGATCGTTGATCTGGAAGATGCCGTAGTCATGGGAGTTGTCCGAGTTGGGCGGCCCCACCACATCGGTGCGGTAGGAGCTCTCGTGATCGGCGATGCAGGCCCAGCGGGCCAGCTGATCCCGAGGCACACCCAAATTGGACATCTCCCGGGCCAGGGAGCAGCGATCCATGATGCGGGCCAGGGCTGCAGGAGCTAAACCGGCCAGAGCCAGGAGACAGATCACTAGAAAAGTTCTCATGGTGGGAATTGTTGGGTTGTTGTTGATTCTATAAACTGAAGATTGGCTCCACAGTCAGGGAGCATTTATACACAGGAGATTAGAGAACATTGACTGTACTTTCCTAACAATAAGTTGCAATCCATGCGATAAGTTATCACTGGCATGGATATAGAAATCATCAGATGATTCACAATGCCAAGAATCTGTGGTAATTCATTTATTGGACTGCGAGCAAAACATTGCAAAAGTGTTCGAGTCTCAGAAGCAATCGTTGATGGATGGCAGGGATCCCTTGCAGTACTTCCAGGTGGACCAGGCGGACCAACCCTGCTGGGAGAGCACCTTCTGGGCACACCTCACGGACTTGGTAATGTCATCGGTCAACAGGGCGTTGCAGCTCAGGCCGCACTCGTTGTAGGAGAAGCGACCGCTGGGAGGAGCGCACCAGTAGTAGTTGTTGATCTGGAAGATGCCGTAGTCGTTGGAGCCGTTGGAGTTTGCCGGTCCCACCACTCCGGTGCGGTAGGAGCTCTCGTGCTGGGCAATGCACGCCCAACGTGCCAACTGATCCCGTGGCACACCCAGTTTGGACATCTCACGTGCCAGAGAGCAACGGTTCATGGTGCGTGCCACTGCCGTAGCTGCGAAGCAGGCCAAAGCCAAGGCACAGATCACTAGATAACTTCTCATTTTGATAAATTACTAAAGTATCTGCACTTGGGTTGGAGTATTTTATAGCCAGGGGACACAGGATGCTACTATGTTGCTCTGCAGTTGAGTCAACATCAAAGCCAACAGTCCATTCTGCGCGTATTTGCCAGTAATTACAAATGCTAATATTTGCATGCATTCGGGGAGAAGATTTCCCCCGAGCAAAGCACTTTACTTATAGAGAGAATCTAGGAAAAAACTCCCACTGAAATAGTGTCGAGCCAATTCTCACTCAATCAATTCGACACATCATCAAAACAATCTACGAGTACGGAAGCACTTGGGTTCTGGTGCTGCTGCTGCTCCACTCGATAAGGCATACGCGTTCCACTCGATCCCCAATCGGGTGGGCAGGTGCGTACTGTGGGGGGGGAGGGGCCTGGGCGGTTCGTCTTCTCTAAATATTCCACAAGCAATTCGAAATATTTATCTATAATAAGAGTGCGATTGTGGCTCTGGTGGTGGCATTGTCTTCTGTGTAGCTTTGTCTCCGTCTTGGTCTCTGTTCACGCAACTCGTGTGGTGTCTGGTCGTGTTGCATGTCGATGGAAATTATTCATAGTTATTCATTGTGCGGCATCCCAGCGATTCCGAGTCTGGAAATTGCGAGGTATTTCTTTCAAAACGAACTCCCATCTCTGCCATATTTTGCAGGTTATCTGCCAAGTTTAATGTCCGACTGTTGTGGAGTCTCGACGTTGGGTTTTTAATGGCCAAAAACAGCTCCACTTGACTGCAGCTATTAGCCCCCATCCAACTATCCGAATTGGACTAACTATCTCATATGGATCACCATCACTTGGGCGGTGGTTCCATCTATTCCATTCAGCAGTTTTCTGGGGGCCTAATCCAATGACTCTCTCGGTGGTAGTACAATGAGCCCTTTCTAAGCAGCAAAACTCAAAGAGAAACAACCACAACCATTCCATCGTCATTGTTGATATAACAACAATTATGCTAATCAGTCTTTGAGGGCGCGTCGTCGTCGAGGTCTCTACTCTACTACCTTTCTCCCAGTTTCAATGAACTTCAAGTCCAACAACGAAACGAAACAACAATGACGAAATCAAGATTAAGAAATGATTTTCAAGGTGGGTAAGTACTAAATGTATACAGACTTATCTCTGGAAAGCTCTGGCTTTGGCAGTCACAGTTCTGTGCCCTTATGCCTAAAACTATGCCACATTCTGGGGCATGAAACCTCTTCAATGAACGACCACTCGTATGCCTCATGTGTCGCGCACGTCTCTTGTCTTTTGATAAGAACAGAAATTCAAGTTCTTTTTGTTTTGTTGCTTGATCCAAAGCAGAGAGTGGCGCATTCTCAATGGAATCAATTGAATATTTTATTTAAATGGGCTTTTTTTTAATTAAAAGCCCCCCCACACACCTGAATCCTCTCCAGATCCGAATCTCCCTCCTGCCACTTGGAAACTCAACAACAATCCCATAGATACGATAGAACATTTCCCCTATAAATACTCCGGCTAGAGCCACAGAAAAGTCAAACAGTTTTCGTTTTAACAACAATCTGCAACATGAAGGCTTTCCTTGCTCTGGTGATCCTGGCCTGTGCCGCCGCTCCTGCTCTGTCGGGACGCACCATGGACCGCTGCTCCCTGGCCAGGGAGATGTCCAACCTGGGCGTTCCTCGTGACCAGCTGGACAAGTGGACATGCATTGCCCAGCACGAAAGCGACTACCGCACCTGGGTGGTGGGACCCGCCAACTCGGATGGCTCCAACGACTACGGTATCTTCCAGATCAACGATCTGTACTGGTGCCAGGCCGATGGACGCTTCTCCTACAACGAGTGCGGCCTCAGCTGCAATGCCCTGTTGACCGATGACATCACCAACTCCGTCCGTTGCGCACAGAAGGTTCTCTCCCAGCAGGGATGGGGCGCCTGGGCCGTCTGGCACTACTGCAGCGGCTGGTTGCCATCCATCGATGAGTGCTTCTAAGCAGGAGGCCTCCACTCGATGCGATCGATGAACAACTCTTTGAAATAAAACGAAAATAACACTTGAAAATTGGAGATTGGAGTGGAGAGTGAATCCATTAGGCTGGGCTTATCGATTCCTGTTTTTGGAGCAAACTCAAGTCTCGTCTCGTCTCGTCTCGTCTCGTACATCGTTTCGTGATTTTCAATTTCTGTCTTGCAAATTGATTTATGCAGATTTTCCATCGGATCTTTCAACACTCTTTTTCTTGAGCGGCTGGTGGGTTTCTCTCTTGACTCGTCCACTGACATTGGTCGAAGTGTTTTTGCTGCTGCTGCTGCTGCTGTGGGAACGAACTGGTGGCAGCCACTCAAGCCTTGACTGGGGGTCTGCCTCAGTGTCTGTGCCTCAGGGGCACACCTGATGAAAGAATCCAATCGGTGGCACCTCCAACAATCGATCGAGTGAATGAGTGAATGCCTCTGCATAGATCGTACGTGACTGATTGATGCCAGCTGATTGATGCACGTCATAATTCCACGGCAATCGAACAATGCAGCTACGAGTATGAGAGGTATCAGTGGCATTTGCATGGACAGGCCCACTCATTGGCTTAACGGTGCCCAAAACAAACGGTAAACGGTGGCTCCCTCTCCCTCTCTGTTGTGGGGAGCTTCCGTCAGGTGAAAGTGTTTTGGGCTGAAAATTAAATACCGAATCAAGCGAATGTCAACAAATCATTCGCTCGTTGGCTGTGCAACGGGCCTGCAGCCTACACATGCCACAAAACACCTCAGACTCTGGCGGATATCCAAGCAACTCCAAACTGCAACTGCAACCTGTGGCCAGACCAGAGACTAGATAACTCTTTGCTTTAAATACTCGTAGAAATATGTTCAATAAACTTAGCGGCGCGTTTTTCCGGTGCGTTACGTGTTATGGCAATACCCCGAACCCATACCCCTCCATTCTTCATCCTCCATTGACTATCCCAACTGGCTCTGGGGTATTATTTATGGTTCAATGTGAATGCAAATTCAAGTTCTTCGATGTCAGGCACGTACATTAATTGACTCCACCCCGATGGCTTTTCCGTTTATTGCAGTGACAGCTCGACGCTGCAGCGACACCAGCAGCACCAGCACAGGGGACGACACCAACGACACTCGTTCCAGATGGCTCCCAGTGTCTGCCACGACACTGCCTCGAAGATGGCACCACAAGCAACGCCTGTGGCTGCTTCCAAGTCTGCTGGCGGCACTTCCAGCCATGCCTCGGGCACACAGAAATGCGGTGGCAGCAGTCTCAATGGATCTTTGGCCTCCTACAAGATGGCTGGCTCCGAACAGAGTTGGCCACAGGCGCCAGTCTACAGTAAAGTGAGTCTTGATTGCTCCCTGCCCAGAAAAAGATACTAAAGATCTTGATCTCTCTCTCTAATTGAATAGGAAAATCAACGTCCACCGGTGTACAATCCAGAGGATTATGTGCTCTCGCTGCGAAAGTTCACCAAAGGAAGCAGCGCCTCGAAAATGAAATCCATTTACGATGTCTGCACCACGCCCAGTGCCAAGGAGGAGGTCTACAAATCCTCTACACTGCCAGCAAAGCATTCCGAATACAAGTAGGAACATAATCCTTACAGTTGAGATTCTTTACTATATTTTCCTGTGCCTCCTTGTAGATCTCCCATTCCTGCACCGCCGGAGAGCGACAGCGAAATGTCGCTCCGACAGTTTGGCTCCATCACGGATCTGCTGACCAAACTGAGGGCCGATCTGAGGGTCTCCTTTCCCAGCTTTGTGCAAGAGTTTGTGGCCACGCCTTCGGATGGAATTAGCCATCTGCTGGAGGTGCTGCGGGCCATACAAATGGCTCAAGCGAGCAATGCCCCAGCGCCTGTGCCAGGTGCAAGCAATTCCCTGGCCATGTCGCGCAATCCACAGAGCTACCAGCGACGGGCACTGCTCGATGAGCTCTCCTGCCTGTAAGTCCTGGAATCACCAGCGTCTCCTCCATCCCTAATCCTGTCTCTCCTTTGACAGGCAATGCCTGAGCATCTGCTGCTCTCGCTCGCTGGATGCCATAGCCCGTTTGGGGAACACACCTGTGGGCCTCATGCCGCTCGCTTCTTCGGCCACGGGGCAGGGCATTCGTGCTCGGATTCTCGCTCTGCAGCTGCTGGCCTCCGCCTGTGATCGCCAGCCGTTTGGCAGTGGCACTGGCAGCCAGAAGATCGCCTCCGCGGGACACACAGCCGTCTCGGAGGCCATGTCCACGCTCCGTTTGCGATGCAGTGAACCCGTGCGCTTCCGCCTGCTGGTGGGGATCCTCAACAGCGGTGGGGGATCCGGGGAGCTACAGTGTGCAGGCGTCAAGTGAGTAAAACCATCCAATTCCATGAAGAAGAAGTGTCTGATAATCCTTTGCAGATTCCTCAACACATTCATCGAGAGTGCGGTGAGCATTCAGCAGCGTCTCTACATCCAGGCAGAGCTCTTCCAGGCGGGTCTCGAGCCCAGCACTCTGGCACGAACCATTTCCTCCTCCTCGCCCTGGCTGGACAGCCTGCGGGCGGAGGTGAAGCGCTTCAACGAACTCCACATCGACGTCGACAAGATGATGGCCCAGGCACGCGATGCGGATCGCACCCGCAGCCAGATGGTGATCCTCGAGCGACGCGTGCAGATCCTGCACGAGGAGAAGGCAGTTCTCACCTCCATGGAGCGGCGGCTGCAGGAGCGATGCGCGGAGCTGCAGCGGGAGATCTTCCGCCTGCAGGGCGCACAGCAGGAGTCCAACTTCAAGCCGGTGGAGGCCCATCAGCCCGTGGCACTGCCACGACAGGTGCCACCCCCTGGCAAGACCACGAAGCAGAGCTGTTCGGAGCACGAGGATGAGGGCATCAGTAGCTCCGAGACGGGCGCTTCGCTCAGTCCAGTGCCCATACTGGTGCTTCCCTCGAAGGCGGCCAAGAATCAGCATCACAAAGCGCGGAAAATCCCCGTGGAGGAGGACGAGGACGATGCAGCGACCATTGAGGATGTCATCGAGGAGCTGGACAACATTGTCAGCGAGGCGGAGAAGCAAATCAGCAGCCACCACCACCACACGTCGCGCCATCGTGCGCCCGTGGAGCAGGACATTATCCCAGTGAACATTGTGCCGCAGCCGCCAAGGAAATCCCGCTCCTTGGCGCACCTCGTGCCCCGCACCGACTGCTCCCAGCAGGAGGGCGGCTCCGACTATGGAATGCTGGTGCATCATCCTGGGGATCCAGCGGCTGCCGAGCGACTGGCCGCCATGCAGACCTTCTTCGATGAGGCCGACTACGATGCCCCCGAGACGGATCATCCGTCGAGCTATGCCATGGACTCCCCATCCCCCGATATGCCGGAGGCCAATGCCGCCGCCACGGCCTACAATGCCGGCACCAATCGGGAGCTGCTCGATGTCATAATGAATGCACGACACGACGAGCACGATCCCACGATGCAGGCCTTGAGGAAGAGCGCCCAAGATGTGCCTCAGGCACCGGTGGTGCCCCACAAGATGAAACCCCCCGCACCGGCACCGCCAGCCCCACCGGCCCAGCAGTTCAATGGCGTCTTCTTTATGACGGGCATGAACACACCGCAGCGGTACCCAAAGCCCGACATCACCGCCGCCCTGCAGGCCCGACGAGTCACCAAGAATGTGGAACGCCTGGAGGCGGCCTTTGCCTCCTCCTCCAGCGGTGGCGCCCACGAGGCACTCAATGAGGCAGCCATCAATGGCAGGGAGAAGTCGCGCAGCAACCAGCAGATCTACTTCAGCAGCAACCCAGCCATGAGGATGCACCAGGAGCCACCAGTGGCAGTGACCATGCCCGGACACAGTCCCGCATCCCGCACGCGCTCCTACACCCAGGGTTCAATGTCCAAGGTGACGGATCTACCCTGTGGCCTCTACTGATCCTCAGATCAACACTCGAATAAATTATGTTCTCGTTGATTGCTGCTCCTCCTCCGCCTGTGCAATAGCAAGCCACACTCTTAGGTTACGACAGAAAACACCCATCAGATCAGATCGGATCGGATCGGATCTTATTTATATGTAAAACTATTCATTTATAATCTATCGCATATCTCATGATCAAATGTAGTTACGGTGGCAGCTTCAACCGCGGGTTCATAGCCGATAAGTAGCTTAGGTCTTAGCGTACTTTTACTCCTTCCTTTGCTACAAATAAATATTTCATAGTCGTACTCGTACCGATACCAATATAGATTTGCCATCTATAGATGGAAGCACTGTCTATGGGGCTATCTTTATGTGCACTTTTATAGAAGGGTTTATTATGATAAGAAATTGGAGCAACTTGGAAACATAAATGGATTGGAACTAGAAGTATAACCAGAACTTTTCAGCATTTAAATATAAATGTTCTTCAGTTTGTTTCCCTCTGAGTACCACAAAAGTTGTTAAAGCCACAAGAAATATTTCTGCAAGCTGGAAGATCTTCAACTAGGAACAATGCGCATCATTGGCGCGTAGCTGTTGTAGCTGTTACCCAAATTAAAGCCTTTCCCATCATAACCCATCATCAGTCTTCAATGTCATTCAATGCCTTGGAACTCTCATAGCAAAAACTCAACCAGACCGCAGCTAATCGCTAGATTAGTGCCATCTTATCGGCTTTTAGCTTTGAATAAACATGATGTCGAGTGTCGACTGTCGAGCACTTGGAAGTGCATTACCGAAATCAGTAATTTGTTGTGGAACATTATTTTGGGCAGTCTGCAATCGATAGCGCGATAGTCAGCATGACATTCCTTCGACCCTTGCCGGCGGGCCTGCAAAAGATTGCCATCGAGGAGCTCAATGAGGTGCCCGATCGCGTGGAGTCGGACATTTGCGCCTTGAGGACATGGCTGGAGAAGTTGCCACATTTGCGTGCCTGCATGGAGGCTCAGTTTCTGCTGAGTTTTCTCCGCGGATCGAAGTTCAGTCTGGAGAAGGCCAAGCAGAAGATTGATCGGTTCTACACGCTGCAAGCGGTGATACCAGAGATCTTCAATGAGCATCGCCTGGTGGATGACCCGCAGGTGCTCGAGATCATTCGAATGGGGTAACTCACGTTCTACATTGAAAACCTTTTCCCCTAAGGAACTTCCCTCTCCTGGCAGTGTTATCCTGCGCATTCCCCTGGACAAAGAGGACACTGGCCCAGCAGTGACCATCATTCGTGTGGGCTCCTACGACACACAGAAATACAAGTTCCAGGACATCATTCGCGTGGGTTCCATGTTTGGGGAGATAATGATGCTCGAGGAGGACAATGCCACTGTCAGTGGCTATCTGGAGATCATGGACATGACGGGCGTCACGGCTGCCAATCTCTTTGCCCTCCAGCCACAGCTCCTAAGCAAATTCTCGGCCTACGCCGATGAGGCAATGCCCACGCGGCAGAAGGGCATTCACTTTATCAATGTGCCCAAAGCCTTTGAAACGGGTTTCAAATCGCTGCTCTCCTGGTTTCCCGGCAAGATCAGAGAGAGAGTAAGTCACAGACCTTAGTCGGAGGAAGAATTTATCTTCATTTGATGCACCTTTTCAGGTTTCTGTTAGCTCTGATCCAGAGGCAATCTTTGAGCGCGTTTCGCGTGATTATTTACCCGTGGAATATGGCGGCACCAAGGGCTCAATGCAGAATTTGTTAAAGGAAATGGAGGCCAAGTTATGCAGCTATCGAGAGTACTTTGAGGCCACTCAGATCTTTGGCATCAATGAGCAGCTAAGGGAGGAACAACGCTCCCCCGGCAACAGCCACGCGAGTCACTTCGGTGTGGATGGCTCCTTCCGCCTGCTGGCCATCGACTGAAGACAACCCCTCTGGCCGTAGTACGAGTATCTGAAACCCATAAAACGATAATAAAAATGCTTTCTGATAAGCGCTGATACACTCTTTGTTCGCGACTCTTTCAATCCATTCACGATAGCTTATCGATTACCCATTTCGAGGCACACAAAGGCCAGGGCCGACGCGTCCGACGCCACTCGACAATTGTTCGTCGATCGATCGAATCGTTCGCTCCCACAAGATGCCGCCTGCCATCCGTCCGCTGAGCCCCGAGCTGCAGAAAGCTGCCGTGGAGAAGCTGAATGAGATTCCCGAGAAGATTGAGGATGATATTGCCGCCCTGAGGGAGTGGATACGCCAACAGCCCCACCTGAAGGCACGCACTGATGATCAGACGTTGGTGAATTTCCTGCGCGGCTGCAAGTACAGTCTGGAGCGTACCAAGTCCAAGATTGATCGTTTCTATACGCTGAGGACCAAATACCCGGACTTCTATGCAGCCCACAAAGTGGATGTGGACAAGCTGTTGGAAATCTTTCGATTGGGGTGAACACAGCAAAGGGAAACCCTCCAGGGAAAGTACTCATTGATCTCTCCCTCTGTAGAGCCATTATCCTGCTGCCGCGTCCCCTCAACGACAATGGTCCCCGCATTGCGCTGCTGCGACAGGCTATGTACGATCCGAGTGTGTACACCTTTCAGGAGGTGAATCATGCCGCTGGACTCATGCAACAGATTATGCTGAACGAGGACGATGTGGCCATTGTCAATGGCATGATCTCCATATTGGATCTGGCAAATGTCACCACGGGACACTTTCTGCACATGACACCTTCGTTTGCCAAAAAGATGACCGTGTTCCAGGAGGAGGCACTGCCACTGCGGCCACAGGGTGTGCATTTTATCAACACTCCTGCGGGTTTTGAGACCATCTTTAATATGTTTAAGCCAATGCTGTCCAAGAAGCAACAGGGACGAGTAAGTCTCAGAGCTACAAACAAATCAAAGTCAATCCTTATCGATTTCTATTCCCTTTCTTAGCTCTATGTCCATGGCAACAAATGGGATGCCCTCTACGATCAAGTGCCCCAAAAGTATCTACCCATCGAGTATGGAGGTGAGAATGGTTCCATTCCTGAGATCATTGCCGAATGGGAGCAACGCATCTTGGCCTACAGAAGCTACTGGGATGAGGAGAACAACTACGGCACCGATGAGAGCCTGCGACTGGGCAAAGCTGTCGATTTCGAGAGCCTATTCGGGCTGCAGGGTTCCTTCCGACAACTGAATGTTGACTAAGGCCTTAATTTATACCCTCTAATTGTGTTGCTAAATATAGTCGAGCAAACTGCAGTCCACTCCACTCCACTCTTATCTTAAGTAACGATGATGTAGCAACAAAACCCAATAAGTCGTTTGACTATAAACGTGTATAAAATATAAGCAAAGAACCGATATGAAACAAAGTAAAAGGAACTGAGTACTCACCAAAGTACAACCCAACAGCAACATGTTTGAAATCTGTAAAGATTAAGATGGGAAATTCATGAATTTAAACGTAAAATATAATTTGTTATTGAATGAAGCATTGATTAGTGTGTGAGTTTGTAAAGGAAAAAGGTTTGAAGTTCATTTAATGTTATATATTTAATGAATGTTGATTATGGGTTTATGGAGTTCTACTGGGCTCTCTCTTTATTTCTGCACTAAAATCTACTGATATTTTGATTCTCATATCACAGATTCGATTAGTTGGCTTTGCAGATCCCCATCAATATTCCCTTCCAATTTCACTTTCTCCACAAGTTTCACAGCGAATTTGAAATCCAGAACACGCCGGTGTGTCTGCTCTTTTGAAAAAAGTAATTTCGGGCGACCCCGCCAAAAAAACACGACCGAATTCCACCTGATACACCGACTGACGATCCACATGAGTAAACCAAACAAAACAGAACAGAATTTTCCAAAAAAATAAGGAAAACAAAAGAGAACTTTGAGTAAAACCAAAAATAAAACTATAGATCAAGAGAGAGAGAGAGAGAAAAGGCGATCTCAGATCTTAGATCGATCTGCCCAGCCAGTGGCTGCCTCCTCAGTAAACGTTGGAGAGTCGCACGGTTCAGTACGGATCGGAGCATCGGTCGTTCGGTTCTTCGTCGTCCTCAGGCAGTGTTTTTTTTGGGGGGGAAGAAAAGAGTGTGGTGGAGACACAGCATGGCATGGAAAATTGAAAAGCTAAACAGATTTTCCCATTGCGATTGAGACTGCAATTATCCCCAGTGCGTACGTATCTACATACGTGTTCGGTAATCATCATTAGTGGGGCAGACAAATCCACGCCCATTCTCGATGGGAGGTCAGGTGTCCATAAATCGAATCTAAAATCAAAGTTAATAATTGCACGGAAATTGTTATGTAGTCAGCAAGAAACAGAAAGAGTAGTTCTCTGTTCGCGTTTTTGGTTGGAATAATGAGATGAATGCCCCCTCCCGGTGTACGAAAATAGTTTTTCCATGGAGTCGCCTCTCTGTATATCTCTCTCTCTCTCTCTGTCTCTTTGTTTCCGCTCTTCTTCGGCCTTGCCCCCCAACAAACCCAACAACCACAAATAAATAAATATTTATTTAGACAAATAATCGAGCGTCTGAGTCTCCGTCTACGTCTACATCTGCCTCTGCCTCTGCGGTTTCTGTCCTTAATTTGGTTTTCGTTTTCGTTTCGTTTCCACACATAATTTATGATCAGCCAAGCGATAAATTAGGCCAAGAGGAGGCTCCCCCAAGCTCCCCAGCAGTAATGTCGGGCAGACGGGCCACATCTCTGCCGGCACACATGTTGGAGCCGGCAAAACCGGAACGTGGACGCTGTGTGGCAGCCATCTGTTTCTCCTGGAAGATCATCACCTGCATTGTGTCCCATGTGCTGCTCGTCCTGCTGGTGGTCTCCTACTGCGTGGGCGGAGCGTATCTCTTTCAGCATTTGGAGCGGCCACATGAATTGGAGGTAAGAACAGCAATAGATCCTCCGAATGGTCCATTGATTGATGCTCCATTCTGCTCCTCAGGTCAAGCGTGACATTCAGCATCTTCGCTTTAATTTGACGGAGAACATTTGGCTGTTGTCCGACGATGCTTTGGTCTTGCGGGAAAGCGATTGGATGGCGAATGTGAGCAAACATTTGGCCAATTTCGAGAAGCAAATCCTCACGGCCATCAAGGCGGATGGCTGGGACGGGGACGAGGATCTGCGCAAGTCTCAATGGACCTTTGCCGGCTCCCTCTTCTACTCGATCATTGTGATCACAACGATAGGTGGGTCTTGGCCTCTTTCTTTGCTAATTATTTATTCTACAACTACATATACACACATATCTACATATACATATAAGTAAAGTTGGGTTCTATATACAACTGAGGAGTGTGCGGGGTGGGAGTACGTCTAAGGGTTCCGGGATACTGGATCCTTCATCCTAGATCTTCTTGCTTAACTTATCGTTGACATTCCTGGGCGCTGCTGCCACGCTCTTGGCACTCTTGCCCTCGGCCACCACTGGACTGGAGGCGGACTTTTCATCGAAGCCAAAGTTGCCGCCTCCATAGGGGCCGAGACCTCCGCCTCCGCCGATACCCAACTGCTGTCCCAGACCCACTCCTCCTGCCAGGCCATAGCCCTCGGTGTACTGCGGTCCGCCGCCAAACTGATTCGAGGGGAATTGCTGTCCCCCAATGCCCGGGAACTGCCCTGCAAACTGATTGCCACTGAAATCTCCACCTGGGAAGGATCCCCCAAAGGGATATTGTCCGCCAGCGCCAGGGAACTGTGCGCCAGCGCCAGGGAACTGTTGGCCAGCGCCTGGGAACTGCTGTCCCACGCCAGGGAACTGCCCGCCGCCCAGTCCATTGCTGGGAAAACCACCAAAGCCTCCTCCTAGGCTGCCGCCTGGATAGCCAGCTCCAGATCCAGCAGCTGTGGGATAACCCTGCAGTCCTGCGCCCGATTGTCCGCCATAGATTCCTCCAGGAAAGCCGCCAATGCCATTCTGTGCTCCATTGAATCCTCCATAGCCGGGCTGGTAGGGCGACGGATACAGGGGCTGCCTGCCAATGATTCCCGTGGGTCCCCCTGGGCCCACAAGAACTCCCGGACTGCCGCCATATCCTCCAGAGAGCCCTGAGCCACCAAATTGTCCTGCATTCGGTTGTCCCCCATAAGGATTGTACTGCCGCGTGCCCACATTCGGGGTTGAGTCCTGCGATGTCCTAGTGGGATCCACCACATCCGCATAGTCCTCGATCTCATCGTTCTCTGGCTCTCCCGGCAGAGGTCTGCGTGTGGTTGGCTCTCGTCTTAGCTTATTGTCGTAGGAATTCCTTATGGCAGCACTTCGACTCCTGCCAATGTCTCCGTCCCGAAAGGAACGCTGCTGTCGGTTGGCGGAGTGCCACACCCACTGATCGCGATCTCCAGCGGCTGCAGCACCAAATCCCAGCACCAGCAGCAGGCCCAAAGCCAAAATTAAGCAATTACTTTGCATGGTTTTTAGACTGGTTTGTTCTCTGTTTATATTGCGGCTTGTTCGCCACGAGATGCCCCAACAGAATGATTCGGCAATGCCACCGACGCATGCTACTTATATAACAATAACCAGAGAACCGATGGGCAGCAAGGCAGACGATGGTGACGACGCACAAAAACTCAGTCAACCGGCGAGGGCACCGCCATCCGACGAGCAGCAGGTGGGTACGAAGCCAATGAATCAACGCAAACATTGGAGCAACAGCAGCAGCAGACATTCGTCGTGCCAGACACTGGCGCAGCACAGATCTTTTTGGTATCGTATCGTATGGGTATGGATCGTTGATTCACGGTTGTAGCGCAAACCGCAAAGAAGCGTGGCACGATCCAACGATCGGAGGAACGCCCAGGAACTGCTGCAATCGAGCAACCGATTATGTCCACTCAATGATCACGTTGAAATCACATTAATCGCTAGCAAACGATCGTCAATCATTTGGCAATTTACTCAAATTCATTTATGTCACGGCACAGAGTTAATTTTCACCCAAAAAACAAAAAAGTTTTCCTGGAAATCACAATGACTTGGCATCAGCCCTAAAGTGCCTTCCAAGGCTCCTCCCCATCCCATTCCTAGCATGATAACAGATCGCAGAGCAAACCCCTACTCCTACTCCCCTAATTAGAAAAGTCATAGGTCGCATGGGCCACAGATCTGCCGCCACAGTTTGTTGCACACACGTGAATGACCTCTAAAAACGGGGTTCCATTCCCCATTCCATGCCATAGCCATTGGGGCAGGTGCGCCGGCTGCAGGGTGGAGTGTGGAGTGTGGAGCGTGTCAAATGAAATCAAAAGTGGAATTATTGTACGACTGTAGTCAAAACAACGGCAAGGTCAAACGCGACTGACCGACCCAAACGACCGATCGCGATGAGAGTTTACACTGGGCGAAAAAAAGGGGAGAGGAATGAAGTTCGAAATTTTAGAATTAGTTGGAAGAGAACTTGTCGATTTAGGGTTCCCATTGGACAAGGTTTCATTGGTTACAGTTGTATAAGCTTTGAAAATTATAGACTAGATATGTGGCAGAGTTTTAACAGGAGAAAACAGGATGCTTAGTACACCTTTTAGAGGATCGTCTCTCTAGTTTTGGTAACAATTGTTCCCACTATAGTTACAAGATCTTAGTGGAACGATCAAGCTAAGATGTATTAATATAAAATGTATTAATATATACTCCTAACTCTATTTTCTTCGAGTGTACTTCATTATTTAGAATTTAATGATGGGAATTTTTGGGTTTTTATTCGTTTTCTTTTTTTGCTTATTTTTCATTTGTTGCCTGCTTCTTGCACAATTTCCCGATATGGATTTATGCTATTTGGCTTTCGGTTAGATTTTAACTCTGGGGTTTACTGACCCACACGCCCATTAAATCCAGATAGTCATAGTCATAGTCGTAGTCGTAGTCGTAGAATTCTATAGAGCGATAATCGCATTTCCGTAAATGCCAAAAGCGGCGGCAGACTTGAAATGCCATTTGTGGTAATGGTTTTCGGTTTTTTTTTGGGAGCGACAAGTACAACCTGAGAGATTAGAGCGAAGAAACCTCATTAGCATTTCAAGAACTTTTTGGTGTTTGGAAAGAGTTGAAGGTAAGACACGAGCAAAGACACAGACAAACCAAAAGACACTCCCTGGTTGGGAATTGGAATCTTTTGGCTATGTTTAAGTTTTTTCTAACACATAATTTGCTGTACTCTTTTTTTTTATCATTTGTGGTGGTGGTCACAGGCTATGGACACATATCACCGCGCACCGACTGGGGCAAGGTGACAACGATTTTCTATGCCATCGTTGGCATCCCCCTGATGCTCATCTGCCTGTCAAACATCGGGGATGTGATGGCCACGTCATTCCGGTAAGCCGCTGACAACTCCACAGTTGCGTGACGTGACTCCTCCACTAATTGGGGTTTCTCACTGCATTCAAAGGTTCCTCTACTGGCGCATCTGCTGCTATGTGTGCACGCGGACAGCCAAGCGGCCGAGGAATGCTCGCTCCAGGCAGCGTTCAGTGAGGGGACAACGGCACGCACGCTCCCAGCCGCCGCCCTCGTTCCGCCGATCCATGAAGATGACACAGCGTTCGGGCAATGACTCTGGGTTTGGTCCCTCCATGGGGCATGCCCACTCCGATCCAGAACTCCGCACCATGGGACGTGGTGGCGGCGGCGGCGGCTACGACGATCGCGAGTTTGTCCACCGCAGCAGTGGAGGACGCAATCGACGCCAGCAGCAACATCAGCACCAGCACCAGCACCAGCAGATGGCGGCACAACCGCGCCAGCAGCGGCACAACATCTACGGGGATGAGTACGAGATGCAGACGCAGACACTGAACCGCGGGAATCGCTACAGCAGCCGCCAGCGGCAGCGGGATCGAATGCGGGATCGTCACACGGTGGAGCGGGAGCGATATCGACACGATTTTGATGCGGGTTCCATGGAGGATTTCAGTGATCTGCAGCCGCCGGCAAAGAGGGCCGGCAGTGTGCGTTCTGTCCGCTCGCCACAGCATCAGGAGTCCAAGGCATCGCGGGAACTGCATCGCCTGCACTCCGCGCCTGGTCGCGGTGCCCGCGCCAAGTCCGTGGATCCACGGCATGTCTCCTCGCAGCACTACGAAGACGTGGATGAGGATGTGGTGCGCAAGACTCCGATTATACCCAATCGATACGCATTGGATGACTTTGGAGGCCAGCAGAGGGCGAGAAATGCAGCGCCGCGAAGTCAATCAATGCCTCGATCGGCGCACCAAAGGCAACGACAGAGAGATCGCGAAAGGGAACGCTCTCCACAGCCGCCGCGGAACGGAGGACGACGCGCTGGCAGTCTGGGAAGGCAATCCTCACGCTATGGCAACCATTTGGAGCTGCCCGACTACGATGATTCGCCACGAGGCTCTTCCAGGGAGCATCGCAGGGAGCGACGTGGACGCTCGCCGCGCAACTACGAGGATTACGTTGAGGAGAGCTTCGATGAGGGTTCCCTGTGCGACGACGGCCACTACGAGGATTATCCGCCAGTGCAGAGCAAGTCGAGGAGTCGCGAGCCCCGACGCAATCATCGTCGAAGGGAGCGTGCCGAGCGTCTGCCTCCCTCGCCGCGTATCATGTCGCCCATGGGCTTCCCTGTCCAGCGGCAGATTCGCCGTCGTCCCAGCTACGAGTACGATGAGGATGACTCCATGTATGGGGATGACTACGGAGACTATGGTGATCTCCTGCCCAAGGATCGTCCCGTGCCCATCTGGCTGTGCGTTTTCCTGGTCGTCAGCTACATCCTCGGAGGCGCCGCTCTGTTTGCCTACTGGGAGAACTGGTCCTTCCTGGACTCGGCATACTTCTGCTTCATCACGCTGACAACAATTGGTAGGGGCACAGCATTCCGCACATAGTTCTTCCTTTTAGTTGATTTTGTTTTCCTTTTTATTCTAGGTTTTGGTGACTTTGTGCCCGCGAAGGGCGTCAAGGATGAGTCGGAGCAATCCATTGCATATTGCTCGTTGTATTTGCTCTTTGGCATTGCCCTCTTGGCCATGAGCTTTAATTTGGTCCAGGAGGAGTTCATTGCGAATGTCAAGGAGGTGGCACGTCGTCTGGGCATACTCAAAGATGATGATGATGAGGATCGCGATGAGGATTAAAAGTATTTAACACTAGGAAACAGCATGAACATTTGAGTCACTTTTAATGCAGAAAACCTGAATATTTTGGTTGAAAAAGTTCAATTTTGTGCGCACTCTATAATTTACACACTTTTCATTGCAAGTTCTTAGGATATAGCTCCTATATCTTTGTTTAAAGCTTAAATTATAAAGTAAATTAAGTTTCCTTTAGTTTGCAACAAATCTCAAAAGAATATTCAATGCATATGGAACACCAAAGTTCGTAAAAAATAAGTTTCTTACAATTTAAAAAGGAATATTCAAACTTACATATAAGAAATCTTGAAATTTGCATTAAAATCTCAAGAAATGAACTCTAAAGATCGCAAACAAAACGTTTCCTTGAGTGTACACAACTTTTAAAAGTAAATTCTTAAGTGTTATACCCAAGGTCGAAGGCAGGTCTTGGGGTTTGCTTAGCATTAAGTTTATTTAATTATTAAATTGTGCAATATACAGAAATACAAAACGAGAAACTCCAGAGAATTTGCCGGCGACTGAAAGGTGGGTGAGTGTAGTACTGGGGCGAGTAGTAGATATAGAGAACAAATATCGATCGATTCAGGCCACGTTCTCTTTGTTTTGCTGCAAAAAGGGAGAGTATTTATTCGTATTAGTTATTCAATCATTAGCAGTGCTCAAACTCACTCTCTTATAGGCTGGGGATCCACGCGGCGATGCTTTGCGTGGCGTCAGGGAGCGGGACAGCGAGCTGCTTCGGCTACCCGCCACTGGAGGCTTCAAAGTATTGGAGTTCATGCTGTGTGTGTTGCTGCCGCAGCCTCTTTTCATGTTGATGCCAGTCGACGCGACCTCAATGGGTGTGGAATTCATGATGGTTTCCGTTTCAGAGAGCTCCTGAACGGAGTGCAAGGAGTCCTCCTGCTCATCCTCGCTGCCCTAAAAGTAAACAAAAGATTAAATTTACTCTAAGGTGAAGAGTCAACTATGATTATTCTACCTCATCTATGGTGGCGGTGGTATCCAGATCCGACCAATCCTGCTCCTGACGGTAACGCCTTACTATGTCCTGATGCGGTGACGTGGCCACCAGCGAGCGTGGATACACGAAATCCCTTTTCGAGGGCGTTGTGCCCGTTGGGGCATAGGTCTTCAGTTCGTTCTGCTGAAAGCGAATGACATCCTGCTCACAGTTCTGCAGCTGCTGTCGCTGCAGGGTCTCATGTTCGTTCGTCTGACGCTTGAGCTCCGCCACAAGGTCGCTGGCAACGGTAGAGTGTCCAATGAAACGCTGGCGCTCCTCTGTGCCCAGCTGCTGCCGCTCCTCGCAGAGCAGTTCCAATTCCTTTTGCTGTTTCCCTTGCAGCGCCTCCCGCTGCTTGCCATTCTCCAGGCACAGGC